AAGAATGAATGAGCTGTGATGTTCTGTTGAGTGTTTTATAACCTCTTCAAAAAGTATGAAGGTTGTTGAACAGTAATAACAGTGGTACGGATGAGTTTCTCTGTAGTGTTGAATAACGTCATCGAACTGTGGAAAAGTAGCGTTGCAGTATAAGCAATGGTGCAGATGGAGTTCCGATGAGTGTATTGTCATCTCATCACGTTCCGAAAAGCTGGCATTGCAGTAAATGCAATGATAAAGTAAAGGAACATCTATTGGTACCCTGAAACAAAAACAAAATTTACAAATGCCTGATCATTTTGGTTTTTAAACCAGATACCCCAATAGTTCGTGTGGCCAAGTTAAATTAAATTTGTTAAAGAGGAGAAGATTTTTGTAAGATAATTGGCAAAAACGCAAAGAAATGTTTAAAATCGTAATTAAAGGTCAATAATTCTTATAAATATATCAGCCAAGTCGACTTATTTGTATATATTGTCTTGCTGATAATGTTTGCTATATAACTTTTATATATTTCAAGATAATAGACAGAAATGGAAAAAAAAGAAGAAATTTGTCATTTAAGGGCAATGACTCCTATAAGAATTCGTGTAAGAGTTTTGATGTATATGGACAAAAGGTAGAGCTCAACATTTTGAACATATCTGCCCCTGTTAAATTTTCTCTCTATCTATAGCTGTTTTCAAATAATAGACAAAACTTGCATTTCCCCCCTATGTTCTAGTTTAGCCATGTCGGCCATCTTGATTGACAAACGGGGTCACCGAAAACTTTTTCAAAACTAGATACCCCAATGATGATTTAAAAAACAGTAAAATATAAGTTCGTTAGACCTTATAAAACCAAAATTGTTGATAAGGTTTCTTAAATGTAGCCCAGTAATTTCAGAGAAGATTTATGTAAAAAATTAACGGAAGACGACGATCGACGGACGACAATGGCCAAGTGATGAAAAAAGCTCACTTTTCAAGTTGGGTCAGGTGAGCTAAATCCAACCAAGAATTCAAAACAAGATTGCACCGTTCTTGAATTTAAAAAAATAAAAATGTCTAACAATTCATAATTAAGGCTTACACGAACGAGATAAACTAATCAGACATGGCAAAACAACTTCACTGGCGTTTTTTTTCAACAAAAATAAATACTACATATTATTTATACAAGAGTGTACGCACTGACATGTCGCGACTGCTTGAATGATCGTAATTGAATTTATTTTGAAGGTCTGTAAGATAAATAATTAAATAAAAGTATCACTTAAACTTAACATTGTTCATGGAACCATAAAAAAGTCATGTTCTGATGAAACCTGCCAGACGGACATGAACACATTTCAATCATTAAAACCAACCAAAAAAAAACTTAACATTTACCAATTAATCAAGAAAATAGGTTCAAGGTCACATAGATAGTCATGTGGCCATACGAGCAAATATAGTTGACCTATTACTAATGGTATTAGAGATACGGACTTGAATACGAAATATTAACCTTGATCATAAATATCAACCATGATCAGTGTGAAATTCACTTGATAAAAAAACAGCTATTCATTTTGTTAGCAAATCGCTGAACTATGAAAATGAGGTCAAGGGCAATGCTCATATGACAGATAGAAACATCGTAACATAAAAGATCTGTGTGCTTGGTATGTTGCAGTCAAACCTTCTAACTTCTGACATATGAAGCTTTATACAAATAGTTCCAGCCGCCACGAATTTGCATCCATTGGTCTCGCATTCCGACGATTCCAAAATATCAATGTGAATTTTTAGAATAAACATGATAATCCTACTCACATACATCCGATTTCGCGGGTGTCCCAGTTTTCTTATTTTTTATAAAATTTTAAGTTGGTATACGGTTTAGTTATATCATCAGTGGCGAATCCAGGCTGCGTATAGGTCGCACACCCTAACCCCCACCTTTGATGGCCCAAAAAATATCAAATCATGTTTTTTACGATTTTTTTAGCATAAAATCGTCCAAAAAATTGTTCGCCTCGCTACGCTAGGCGGTATGTAAGCTGTTTGAATTACGCCCACTTTTGAAAAACCTAGTTCCGTCCCTATATATTGTCAATAATATAATGACCAACGTCAATGTACGATAATCATAACACAATGAAGAGATAACAGAACCGTTTATTTATAGTATAGAACTGCTAATAACATAATCATCATTGCATTTTCCCGGTGGCCTGAGACCATTATACGAATTTATACTTAGTATTATAGTTACAATTAGGGATAAATATATTTGATTTTTAATGCTTGATTATTATAATCCTTTTCTCCCCATAAACATTCATTTTCTATGGCGATTCTGCATGCATATACATTTGTCTTATTGTCATGCCTTATAATGAACATTTAGCCTTAGAAGATTTACTTTAAACGATCATAGGAAAGATAACACCCCTAGGTAGATTGGATTACTTATAAAGATAACTATCCTGTTGTGCTTGAAAATCACATATCAAATGTGCGTGCTTTAATTTTTAAGACCGTAAACTCTAATTTCAAGTTTAAACACTTAGATTTACATTATTCATATAAAAAAAAACGTATAGAGAGTTTAAACCTTAATTTGCGTTACAACCTTCATTTCTATCTATTTCGCAGTTAAAGTATTTTGAAATGCAAAGCAAAATTATTATTACTTTTGTTCCAATAAACTAGGAATTGAAGTGTTTACAGATTCAAATAAATAATAAGTTGTCCTCTGAAAGAAATCGTTTTCCAAAGAGCCACCAAATTCCTTTTAAACGCTGAAGTTCAATTATGTTATGCGATTATGCATTTTTTGTTTGAATGACAAAACCGGGTTCTGCCTTGTGAAATCTAGGACAAAACCGGGTTGTACACATTGACAAAACCGAGTCCTTCCATTTTGACATGACCCATTACTTTCATTCCATACACAGAAATACAACTATTGAGGTGCTCAAAGTAAAATTCAGAATGGAAATGGGGAATATGTCAAAGAGACAACAACCCGACCAAAGAGCAGACAACAGCCGAAGGCCACTAATGGGTCTTCAATGCAGCGAGAAAATCCCGCACCCGGAGGTGGTCCTCAGCTGGCCCCTAAATAAAATTGTGTGCTAGTTCAGTGAAAGTGGACGTTACACTAATCTCCAGAACATATAAATGAACTAAAATTAAAAACATACTAGACTAACAAAGGCCAGAGGCTCCTGACTTGGGACAGGCGCAAAAATGCGGCGGGGTTAAACATGTTTTGTGAGATCTCAACCCTCCCCCTATACCTCTAGCCAATGTAGAATAAAGAAACACATAGCAATACGCACAGTAAAACTCAGTTTAAAAGAAGTCCGATTCCGATGTCAGAATAGGTAACAAAAGAAACTGAGCAAAACGACAATGATACATAAATGAACAAAGGACTACTAGCAGTTACTGACATGCCAGCTCCAGACCTCAATTAAAATGATTGAAAGATTATGTCTTCATCATATGAAAATCAAGTACAATCCCTCCCGTTAGGGGTTTAGTATCATACCATCATAAAATATATGAGAAGAACATAACCCGTATCATGTTAACAACTGGTTTTAGAATAAATGTGTTTATTTCCGATGCAAAGACCCTATGAGTGAATCAATATTAATACCAAAATATGCAATCCTTAATGACTTGACAACAGTATCGTAACTATATCCTTTCAAAGTGACTAGTTTTGCAATATCCATGTCAGTATCTTTCTTTCCGTACAATGTGAACAATTTAACGAGAAATTAAACAAATTCGAGGCAAGGTTCACTCAATTCGTCATTTTGACGAGCATTTTTACTTATTTCTCCGTTAATCTAGAACGGTTGTAGAAAATACTACATCTCACAATAGAAAATAGTTATATATGTATAATTATTCTTCGATATCATAAAGATAATAAATAAATAAACAGAAACTTGCCTTTTCTCTGTCTATTGATGTTCCGTCACCGTGCCGGATATTAGTTACCATCGAGTCTAAACATTTTTTGCCGGTGTAGTTTAGACACAGTGTTCACTATAACTTCATCATCAGACAAACGATGAAACAAGATGACCATTACCTAGCCTTGACAATGTAAATTCTAATTAATCTTTATTAGTATTAATTAGGAAGCCATTATCCAGATCTTTTATTGATATGCAATAAATTATTTTCTTTATCATCAGTACCACAGGATGTGTTTGTCTTGCAGAACAACGAGTATAACCTTTCCGTTTAAGGAACACACTATTCGATCACGAACGAATTAAGAGTTATATATTCAGAAACATTGATGCATCCGAATCATTATATCACTTTAAATATGAACATTTGTCTTCCTACACCATTACGTCACACTATATTCACACAATTAAAACTTTTATATTTGAAGCTGTTTAACTATTTTTACGGTTGTACCTTTTATTACTTTTTACAGGCTGGTAGTAAAAGACTATTTATAGCTGCAATAGACATCGGTACAGCATATTCTGGATATGCATTTTCAGCACGGCGTGAAGTTGAAAAAGACCCTTCTAAAATATATTGTCCTTACTGGCAAGATGACGACGGACAGTATTATAAGACCGCTACAGCTGTATTATTTGACAAAAGAGGAAATTTTAGTGCATTTGGTTTTGATGCAGAAAAAAATTATTATTTCGAAAGGGAAGACCAAGGAGATAGGCTAAAATGTTTTTTCTTCAACGACTTCAAGATGCTCCTTTATGAGAAAAGGGTAATCACATTTCGTAAATTTATTGCATCTGCACCGACAGTCGTTAATGTAAACAGATAATTACTTATCACATGGAATCATGTAATGGCGGATAACTCAAAATATTATTTAATAAATATACTTAAACTAATTCAAATACCTACAAATCAATGAGAATATTTAAAACAAAAAGACAACTGTGATGTAACGAGCAAGTAACAAATACCTAGCACGTCTGTATTTCAAATTGATGGACTCAAGTGTTGCTGTATCTTTATTTATAGGACAACCTGAGTGCAGATTTTGTTATGAAAGACATTGTTGGAAAGCAAATGAAAGCAATAAAAGTATTTTCTTCTGCAATTGAATATTTGAAAAATCATCTTTTGAATAGCCTACAAACGCGTTTCAAAAGAGGTGGTAATATTTCAAATGCTGATATTCATTGGGTTTTAACTGTTCCTGCAATATGGGAAATGAAAGCAAAGCAGTTTATGAGAGATGCTGCGGAAATGGTAATTTTTTTAAACCTTTAAGTTATTTAGCCTTTCGATTATATAAAGGAAATTTCCTTACAATAATTTTTAGTAAAGACAGATAGAATCATGACTAAACGAAAAATAGTCAAACAAAAATCCAATTTTATTTATTATATGTTAAGACATGCATACAACAAAAAGCTTAAATAGAAGGGATTATGATACCGTTTGACTTTTTCGTTTAAATGTTCTTTATTGAAATGCTATATGTTAAATAATCATTAAAAGTCAAAGATCTCCTGTGGGGCATTCAAGTAACCATAAAAGAAGAAGAGATAAAATGGACATCTAAAAAGTAAAATAACACTGAACTCCAAGGAAAATTCAAATCGGAAAGTCCCTTATAAAATGGCAAAATCAAAAGCTCAAATACATCAAACGAATGTAAAACAACTGTCATATTCCTGACTTGGTGCAGGCTTCCTTATGTAGAAAATGGTGTATTAAATCTGGTTTTATAGCCTGCTAAACCTCTCATTTGTATGACAGTCGCATAAAATTCCATTATATTGACAACAATGTGTGAACAAAACTAACAGACATAATAGGTAAAAATGTCAAAAATAGGTGTACAGCAGTCAACATTGTGTTGTAATCTTAATCACTACAAACATGATTAAAACAAACAAATATGTCAACAAAGAAAAACAAAATGACATATAGACATAGCACATAAGCAAGAATGAAAGACAAGAATACAAAAAATGACCACAGCATAAATTTAAATGATATTTTGTTCAAGTTAATGAAGAATATATAAAGGAAATTTCCTTACAATAACTTTAAGTAAAGACAGATAAAACCATGACTAAACGAGAAATAGTCAAACAAAAATCCAAAAAACACTACACAATAAATTTGTTTGAGCGAGACGAACTCTATGCAAATCTGGTTTGGACTTAGATCTTTTATTTGTAGTGTTCGTTATTGCATTTCAAATTGAAACGGTTTATCTAATTTTGACGTAGTTAGTTCTGTATCATCTAATCATCGTAAATTCTTTTGATCAAATAATTATGTTATTTTATTTATTATATGTTAAGACATGAATATAACAAAAAGCTCAAATAGAAGGGATTCTGTTCTTTATTGAAATGTTATATGTTAAATTGCCATCAAAAGTCAAAGATCTCCTATGGGGCATTCAAGTAACCATAAAAGAAGAAGAGATAAAAAGGATATCTAAAAAGTAAAATAACACTGAACTCCAAGGAAAATTCAAATCGGACAGTCCCTTATAAAATGGCAAAATCAAAAGCTCAAATACATCAAACGAATGGAAAACAACTGTCATATTCCTGACTTGGTACAGGCATTTCCTTGTGTAGAAAATGGTTGATTAAACCTGGTTTTATAGCCTGCTAAACCTCTCACTTGTATGACAGTCGCATAAAATTTCATTATATTGACAACAATGTGTTCACAAAACTAACAGACATAATAGGTAAAAATGTCAAAAATAGGGGTACAGCAGTCAACATTTTGTTGTAATTTTAATCACTATAAACATGATAAAGACAAGCAAATATGTCAACAAAGAAAAACAAAATGGCATACAGACATAGCACATAAGCAAATGAAAGCCAAGAATACAACAAATGACCACAGCACAATCTTAAATGATATTTTGTTCAAGTAAATGAATTTGAGTTGGCAACAGGCTAAGCCTTTGGAAGCCCTCTCGACCAAACAAGGTACACTATTTTACATTCTTACCTTCAAACAAGACAACACTACACAAGCATAATGACAACACAGAATAAATAATCTAAATGCATAAGTTTAAGACCTACAAACAACAGCATTGTCAAAATGAAAAAGGGCAATTACACAAAAAGCCCTACAGAAAGCCCTTTACAGGAAACTAAAATCTAAAGATCGGTTTAGGTGTTCCGGAAAGGTTAGAAATGGTTATTTTACTAGTACATGTGTAGCACCCATATAGTTGCTCATTTCAAGTAAAATTCCTGTGAAAAGTCTCATTCGGCAGAAAAATTAGGAACCCCAAGGGTGACTTGGGAATAGAAATATTGTCACTCTTGGTCTTCTTCCTACTGGCAGTAAAACCCTTGTCAAAGTGGGGCGTCCGTTTGGTTGTTCGAGATGTACAATTACGCAGCCATGTCCGGTCAGAATGAGGACGTTATATCCGATGCCTCGTGCAGAGTGCCACGTCCTTTGCAGATTAAGAACCCTTGCAAACACTCGTTGAGGGGTCATTAGGTGGTGGCCTGTTACAAGGCAAAATTTCTGTCTCTATCCAATATACCCTCATTTTCAGCTGCAGTTCAAATTTCCCCAACCTTATACCCTTACGTCCTCTATCACAGGACCTACCTATTGTATTATTGTTAATTTGTTTTCGTCCTGAGTATCCATAAACTATTTGCCACTGGACGTCAAGCAACCAACAATCAATCATAAATAAATAAATAAAAAAGGTGGAAGTTGCTTGATTAAAACCCATTATTATTTCGTTATGTTGCAGTTAGATATTTTTACATTTGCTTTATTAAACTATTGAAACAGTTAAAGTAGGCAATTTCTAGAGAAAATTGTGAAATATGAACAGTTTCTAATTATTTAAAATTTGAAAATAAAATAAGAAATAAATCAATAAATTTAATACAGGGCATATTTGAATGGTCGTCCCTTCCGTGCATATTTTTCAGAAAGCCTTATCTATTATTTGTTTTTCATGTATGGGAATGTTAATTAACTTTTTTAACGAAGCATTTTGAAACAAGTCAACTTTACCTTTACATTGTTAACATGAAAAACGAATATGTAGATTGGCTCAATAATATTCCATTTTAAAGATATAACATATAATTTTTAAATTGAAAGTACTCATATGGTTATTTTGTCTATATATTGTTTGGTTTTCTTCTAATTGCCGTACATCCACATATTTTGTTGTTATTCCAAATAAATGATTACGTTCAATTCGAGAAAACATTTAATGACAAATTCAAGCTAAGGTTATTACCAGAGATTTTACGTAGTGTAAAAGAGATTATGAACAATTTAACTTCCACATAATAATTAAAACGCAGTCAATACAACTCTATAGCAAGAAGTCCAAATAGGAACAACACAAAATATTTGTTCTACAATGTTCTTGAAAGTCATAGTCATTCATCAGTTATTTCCACAAAAAAAGGTAAAGAAAAGTAATATGCATCTGAGTAAGTTCTCATGAAAGCTTTGCGAAAGTATTTTTTTTTTGTAATTTTTGCAGGCTGGAATTAAGGGAGACCAACTAAGTTTAGCGTTGGAACCAGAAGCCGCATCGCTTTATTGCCAAAAGGTACCGATGAGTATAAGAGAAAACGTAACTAAAACTGTAGATTTTCTCGGGCCTGGTACATCATATGTGGTGTTAGATCAAGGAGGTAATTCAAACAAAAACATTTAAAATTCCTAAATAAAAATGTTCAAATTTGAAAGACGTACATGTACAAATGATGAGATACGATGAAGGTGTTCACTGTGCTGTGTCTAATGTCACATTTTAGAATTCAATAAACGTAATCTTTGTAAAACATTTACAAAATTCATTAATTGATACCATGATGTGGTTTTGAGCTTTTTGTTGAACCTGTGGAATTCTTATTTGAAACAGGATATCGCATACTTATTTTTCCAGTAATATTGTTTGTAAAGCCCGTGAAATAAGACACGATCCATGTGAACTAATTGTTCTTTTGAATAATCTTTTTATCGGTACAAACATTTATTTTGTTTTTGATTAATTAGAAAAGGACAATATGTGTCACATTATATTTATCAAAACTTGTAGTCCTACACCCAGTCGTCATGATGAAGTTTTTATGGCTTATTGTACAGGGTTTACCTTTCCTAGTCTGTTTATGGCGTCTTTACCTTAATCCGTTGAATGTGTTCTGATTGTTATTTAGTCTGAGAGAAGAGGATTAAGTTATCATTTGTTATTGGCTTTGAACTAGCTTTCAGTAACTATGAGTAAATTCCTCCTAGATCGGTATTTGTTGTATTGTGTCTTTATGTTAGTTGTTTTGTGCTTCATGTAAATCTGATTAGTCAAGCCATTTCAGGCGGAGTTGAGCATTCACAAATATGTAAAACTCCGCCACATTTTAAATGTGCCTTTTCTTTATAAATTCATTGATTGTCGTTGGTTGCTGGCTGTCAAATTTGTTTTTCGTTTATTGTTTGTCATGTTTTTTCATAAATCGGGTTATCGTTTTTCTGTATGAATTCTTTAACATTTTGGACTGTGGGGACCTTTTTGTAGCTCATTAGGTGCAGTGAATACTTCGATATCTTTGGCGATAAAATCCTGGAAAATTCTTTTCTTTGATTTTCAGTTCGTCTTTTTCATGTTTTTTGTGAAGTCTGTAAGTGTATAAGATGTATAACTAAATATCATGTTGACTTTTTTTTTGGTAAATAAATGATTTCCCTTTCAAAACAAAACAAAAATCCAGGTCAAATATTTTGCAGGTGGAACTTTTGATGTTACTGGACATCAGATAGAGGATGACAACTTTTTAAAAGAACTATTCTCCCCCAACGGTGGTAGCTGGGGTGGAAATAATGTCAACCACAAATTTGAAAAGTATTTAGAAGAAATATTCACTGTTAGCGTAGTAGATGCAGTTAAACAAGAGAATCCGATGGCTTACTTTGATGCTGTAAAAGAATTTGAAAAGAAGAAAAAAAGTTTCAACCTGAAGGCGGAATCGGATATCTTTCTTTTGATATGTCCTGTTTTTAAAAATATGTACGAAAAAATCAACAAATCCCATCTTCCTTCTGAAATACAAATAAATTATGGGAAAATAAGAATTCCTGCTCAGCGTTTTAAAACTTTTTTCCAACAAACTATACAGTCGATCACAGGACATTTGTCACAAATATTTAACAATCCTGATCTACGAAACATAAATATTATTTTGGCAGTAGGTGGATTTTCGGAATCAGAAATTTTAATCGACAGTATAAGGGAACGTTTTCCAAACATGGACATAATAGTTCCAAAAGACCCCGGTTTAGCTGTTCTGAAAGGTGCCGTACTCTTTGGTTTAGATCCATTGGCTATTAAGTCTAGGATTTCAAGATATACTTACGGAATAAAAGTTGAGAAAGAAATTTCAACTACGGAAGATGTAAATTATAGAACTTTACGAAGAGATAGACAAGGCAGACGATTTGCGACTGATGTTTTTGAAAAACTTGTCGAAATTGGTGAAGAAATCAAAGTTGGTGAATGGCAACCTGCAAAAGAATATGACCCAACCTGCAAAAGAGACAGAGAAGTGCAAATAGAGTTTTATGCATCAGAAGAAAAAGATCCTGTTCACGTCACAGATCCAGGATGCATAAAACTTGGACTTTTAAATGTAGATTTAAGAGAACGGGTAACAACAGACGGTGCTTTAAAACTACAAGTAAATGCTGGCGGGACAGAGATATTAGCAGTTATCACAGATGAAAACACTGGAAGAAAATTTAATGCAAAATTGTGTTTGCCTTAATCGATATTCTAACATATTGATCCATATATGTGTTTTTTTTTTTTTTTTTTTTTTTTTTTACAGAATTATACTATATATTAAGATATTGGAAATATGAATTTCGCATGTCAACTAGTATAAAATAAACGTTAGGTGATATTTTATTTTCATACTTTGACATTAGATTTCAATTTGGATATCATTGTAATTCAAATAAAAGAGTGAATGCATTGTTCACTCAAAATAACATGTTTTATCTATGATTGGTCACATTCAATTAAACAAAGAGTCTAACAAAATTCGGCATTTTATATGTACTTCTACGTCAAAACTGTCATCAATCTATATGTATTGTTGGCTGTCGTAATGAAAATAAAGAGGAGTGGTATAATTGCCAATGCAAAAATTATCTACCAGAGACCACTGGACGAGGATGTAGACATCTATATGACGCTTTACGGCCCTCAACAAAGAATGAAGGCATCGGCATGACAAATTGTGACACATTTCAAAAGAAAAACCCTATGGCCTGATGTATGCTAAAAGTATTAAACGAAAAACAAGCATGGCAGACAGCAACAACGTACTTTTTTAGGAGAAATCCGTTTGCGCCATTAATGCGTCCTTTTGCACCACAACTTATTTGCGCCAATGCTACGTTTGTGCCACAAGTTTTCAAAATACACAGTTTCATTTGCACCAAAAGTAAAGTATCTGGTTGCACCACAAATAAAGTATACGATTGCGCAAATGTAAGGGGGAAAAAGATTTCCACCACATTATTATATTTAATGTAGGAAGTGACACTTCGAACAACACTTGAATGTTTCATCTGCAAATACTCTGCATCCAAGCAAAGACATTTTGCTTTAGTTTTACAACGAAGAATTGCAATGCTACTTTCAATATCATTAAATTAAGAGAAAGTTTTCATCTTTATTTGTTACGATTCAAACTTCATGTTAAATTTCCAGAAACTCTTATTGACTTATTTGATTGAGCTCGGTTAAGTTTTCTTCTTTCTTTGAAAACTAATTATCTGATATATTTGGAATCATTGATTCTTTTCAATATGAAATAACTCCGAAAATATGAGCATATCCATTTTTTTTTTTTATTTTATTGTACACTCATCTTCTATTTTATTTTTTAAGAAAATAGTTCCACTTATTACATATAATATGTAACTTCCACGAAATATTTTTCAAATTGTAACAAATGTAAAGTCATTAGTTACATACCTGTAAACTATTTCGAAGAGAGTAGATGTTTAGATATTATTTTATCTAGTTTTGCATTCTGTACTGAGATAACTATAACAGTGTTTGTTTATCTGTTTACTTATTGGGTTTTGTTTCTTTTAAACACTCATTTATAAGACAAAAATGTATTAACAAAAGTACAGAACTCCAAATTGAATTCAAAAAGGGAGAAGTCCATAAGACCTGACAAAATCAAACGTTAGACTATATCGACCAACAGAACCGTTAATGGAAAACAACTGCCACATTCCTGACTTAGTACAGGTATTTGTCGAATAAACTTGTTGGTTAAACCTGGTTTTATTGCTAACTAAACCTCCCACTTGTATGACAGTAGTTTGTAGTGTCGTTAAAAGTTAGCTTATCAATAAAATGAATTACGATGTGGTGTCTGAATGCTGTTTGACTTCAATTTTCTATTCCATATATTCGATAGAGTATACAGGAGTAATATACTATACAATTTTGTACATGTATATATATATATAGTCTGAAAAAAAAAGTATGCAGCACCTTTGCTTGATTTCAATTCTCTTTGGAGGTTGACCAACCGTTGAACGATTATGCAGATTTCTAGTTATTTGCCTACATAAAATGTAGAAGAATAATTACTTTGAGCATAGTGTCAGCAGCTGCGCTGATTTTCTTTATGTGGAATTGTTTATAGGTGAATTGTTCTAATGTGTGTTTTTGTTACCTAAAATTATGCAGTGTCATAGAGTGAGTGATTTCCTGTATTATATTTTGTTTGATTTTTTTGTGTATCTTCTGTTATATTTAACGAACCAAGATTCAAAGGGTAAGGTTTAGATCTTAAAAGTTTGGTTACCTTGCCATATATTCAAATACTCTTTTTTAAACAGGAACCTTGTAACTCCATGCTTATGTTAAACCTCAATGTTTTTATCATTCAGAGAATTTATTGTTTATGGCAAATTATTTGCAATACTCAAAGAAGAAGACCCTAAAATAATACTGATTGAATAACAATGAGATGAAGAACAACAATCTGTAGATTCCACCGTTTCCACAAACCACATTTTCCAAACCTGTAGAACTTGTCAGGCCCAGAGCAAGGGCCGAGTGAAATAATCCCACAATTACTACCAGTCTCCCTGGACCGCCACATGAGAGCCCAAGTCAGCAACCATTATTGAAGCATTGCAGAAAAGTTGATTTGGTTGTGCTAAGAAAAAACTAACCCCCCCCCCCCCCCTCCTTGTATATAATTTGATAAAACCTGATTTCCAGTTTTTGATAAATGAGTTCCATCTGTTCTGTATAAAGACACTCCCCTTGCCATAATGTTCTCATGTAAAATAGCTTTTCCCCATTTTCTATTACAAAGTTTCTGACCACTGATATAACTCTTTTCCTCTTCTGTTCGATTATTGGACCAGCATTTAAGGGTGCAAAATGCCAGTATCTTCGCTGTAGCATTGAACACCAGATTATGACAACATTTTTGAATAAAGCCTGGTAACGTAGGATGGAACATTTTACATTTTCAATTAAACCCTTTCTTGTCAATTCTAAATCTGTCAAATCATTAGCTCCACAGAGAATAATCATGAAATTAGGAGAAGGTGAAAAAATCCTTTTTGCATCCAGTAGGAAGTCCAAATCTTTAAACTGTAAACCAGGTTGACAAATCCAATATGTTGAGACTCCTTTGGACTCTTATTTCTTTGCTTCTACATTGGCCCAATGCACAAGGGAACTTCCAACAATCCATAAAATTTTGGGACCTGTGAAAACTTGTAGCTTGTTAGCCTTTTTGTAACTAGAAAAATTGCAACCTAATATAGCGAGAATAAGCATGCGATTCCCATCTGCCTAATTTCAAAATTAACTCCTCTGAGACCCCCTGCCTGGCCAGTTCAGTGGCACTCCAATTCTAAAACTATGTGACCTAAAATGACCATTACTGATATGAAGGAAATTTAAAGCCCTTTTCCAGTATACTGTTGAATCGGTATCTAGTTTAAGGCATACCATTACAATGTATAATCGTACCTTTAAGTAGTCGTTAGTGAGTCGTATCCGACAGTAGTTTTTTTTTCTGTTCCCGGGTATCAATAAAGTCACAGACTTTCCCTTTTGGTGAGGTTTTGAGCACCTTACTCACAGCTCCAGGACTTTTTTCTTAACTAAAATATCAGCATTTGTTAAGTTGGAGCCATTTATAACATTATTTTTTGAAATAGTGATTTCCCCTACCCTAAGCAAACCAAAAAAGGCAACTGAAAACAAAGCAGCTTCATATTTATTCTTACATACTTTATCTGAACATTTGGAAGCCGCATGATTAAATTTTGCGTATCAAATTCTATACCCAAAAAAAGTGAGTAATGTAGTAGGCAAAGCAGTCTTGTCACTAGCAAGAGGAATACCTATTTTATCGCATACTTCTTGAAATATCTTCGCTCGACTCGACAAAAAAAAATCATCTTAATAATGGAGTATATAATCATTTCCACTTTTTTGCTGTATTATCCAATGCAAAACTTTTGCAAATTTCTCCCAAAAGGCGCAACTGATTGAAACCCCCATTGGAAGCATTTTATTAAGATAATATTCACCCTGAAATTTTATCCCCAACAAACCAAAATCCTGCTGGGCAATAGCCAATAAGCAAAAAACTGCCTTTACATTACACTGGCTTAAACGAACAAATGTTTTGTGTCTATTAATCAAACATGCTGCTTCGTCCATTGAACTGTACTGCACTGAACAATGGTTTTTATCAATAAAATCATTTATTGATTTATTCTCAGGATAGGATAAATGTTGAATAAGTCTAAAATCCCCATCCTTTTTTTTTGTCACTAGCCCGATTAGTGATACCTGAAGTGTGGGAAAAAGCGGTAATCTGAAAGGACCAGCAATGCGACCAAGTTTAACTTCCTCCATAAATTTTTCTTTTAAAATGTTCTGTTGCTGTATTGCACTTCTTAAATTGGAACTTTCCCTTGGTTCCCTGGAGCCAAAATATTTTAAGGAAAACCCATATTTGAAACCAGATATAATTTCATGTGCTACATTTTTATGTGGGTAAAATTCTAAATAATTTTCCAAGACAGATACTTTAACAGGAGTATTTCCTAATGAATAAAAATTAATACTTTTTGTTACTTCTTCCTTGGGCCCTGATGTTACATTGGGCCTTTCTGTGTTTGCCACTGCATATTTCACATACATGTTTAAACCTACAACGAGGGAAGTATGGACAGTCAGTACCATTATTTACAGGACATATTTGTACTACCACTAGTTACCTGTGATTGCTGATTTGTTCTCGTGTAAGTGTTGAAAAGTGTAGCTGCATTTGAATTATAATGACCATGATTTTGTGTATTTGTTCTATAACCCTGTGATTGCATTGAAGTCTTGTTTTGTACTGATGGAGATGTGATGTGTAATAGCCAATATTCACCGTGTATGTTTCCCCAAGATAAATTTGGATTCTTTTCTATTTGACGTATTTTAGGCCTAAATTGCTCGTCATAGGTGGCCCACTTGTCTGACCTCGTTGCAGCTAATCTGCTATCACGCGTATATTTTAACAATTCCTGTGCCCGAGTCCTGTATTTCTCAATGTAAACACTCATAAAAACCATGAATGCTGAAGTCCATTCGTTTATGGACAAATCTATACCCGACGATCTTTCTTCAATGCAAATTTTCCCCCTTTTTAATTTTAAATCGCCCTCGTCAACCTCCTCTATTTCTTTCTGTGTTCTCCAAAGAAAATGTAGCTCAATAAACTTTCTGTGCCAAATCTTTACATTAGGTTAAAAAGGCACGTGTTCCCCCACTGTGTCATGAATGCTAACCTCTTGTGTCGGGATGAAATCAATTGCATTATGTGCCATTTCAAAATTTGTGTGTGACGGGTCGTGCATAAAAGGGGGAATGCCCGTGCATCCTCCTCCGACTTATTACCTGATAATATGTCAGCTTCTTCTTGTCCTTGTGTTCCACCTCGGCCTCCTGTCTTTTCCTGTCCATTCTTTTACGTCCAACTCCGTCCTTCTATTGTGTCATGTCCACGGTCCTAATTCCCTGGTATTTCTTTTGTTTGGCATCTTTAAGATTTAATTGAATAAACTATTTCCTGTAGCACCTGATTCGTTGTCGACAACAAATTAACAAGTGCCAGATACAGGAATTCCAAAATTTAAATTCCATGTGAGAGCGCCATCTATCTAATCTCTATCATTTATACCTTCAGTTAAACATTTTATTTTATAATCTACTGAGGCATTTTTAGATTGACATACTGTAAAGTTGGGGACATGTCTATTGTTGAAGACTCTACGTTGACCTTTGTCATTGTGTTGTTTTTTTATTTACGTAAACCCCATAGCTACTTTTATTTGCAACATTCTTGACAATTTCAGAACTTTCCGTTTAGAGATCATAACACTCGCTCCTTAAGTATATATTTTGGGCAAAAAATAATTAGTTTTGCATTTTTTATGTCAAATTTCGGCTATAATGAAGCGTGTAAGGAATCGTTATCAACAAATGTACACTTGGAATTAGCCTTTAGATTTTGCTAAGTATGATAAAATTTCATACTGAAAATATCGTTGAAAGACCAAACTTGCTGATATACTTTTATGAGGAATGCTTTTAAAAATATTTTAAAAAGGGGACGAACGGTACCATGGAGTATAATGTACTGACGTTATATTAGCATTCACTCTTATCATGAGGCCGAACGAAGCACAAAATAATGTATGCTTTCGAAATTCGTTGACTTTTCCTTACCATACAAATGCAATGAGAAAAATAAGATATGGATGTTTTTCACTATCATTAAATTCTGCAGTCTGTTATAATGTGCAATCATAGTATTACTTTATTTGACAAAGAAACAATCTACCCGACTTCATCATATGATAAAACAAGGTTGAACATTTTATATCTTTACAAAACATACTTCAAAACATATAGAATATTCAATGTATGCCTTATTGCGACGACAAAAATGATTTCTATGGTACCAGAATATTCTAAATCCTTCATTGTATAAACTTCTAACAGTTTTCATTCTTTCTAGATTTCCAGGTGAATGAAGTTCTATTAAAATCTGTGTTACATATTTCAGAACACCACTCTTGATGATATTCGGCAAAACTATCCATTCATCCCATTCAATGTCTATTTTTAATATATCGATTGTTCTCTGGAACAAAAATCATAAAGTAAATCATTTATGGATGCCGCTGGCCATGTGATATGTTCTCGTTCGATGCCATTTGAAGCATGTTAATAGTTTCAAATATGTACTTATGGTTATCACCAAGTTATCACCAAGTTCTCTACAAATTCACTCCCCAAGTTTCGTTAACAGAAATCTTTATAATTAAGTACTCATAATTCAAATGTTAATGTATATCAACATACTAGTGATATCTACATTAGTAGTTTTCATATTACTTGAGGTATTTAAAGGGAATGATGAAATAAATTTCAAAAACTTTTTCTCGCTTTCGGTTTTTTGTAGAGGAACAAGATTCTAGGATATTAATTGTTCCGTTTTCTTTATCATTTTCTTATCCATCCTGCTATTCAGAAGACAATGAATTACAACCTGTGTTTTGATCTGGGTTTTTATTCTGCCCAGAAATCTGTCAATTAATATTCATAAGATACAAACATCTCAAATACGCCTCTGCTTAATGTAATTTTTGCAACATTTCTGTTTTAGTTTACATTCATTTCTTCCTGCCAGTAGTTTTAGTATTTCAAATTATTGTTCGCCATAAGCAACGAAACAGACCTATTTACATTTTTCATAATTTTGATGTATTATAATTCTCTTAAGAGAGACTTCATTTATTAAAATGCTGATCTTAATTTCAGCAATGAATACTCTTTAGAAAAAACAATCACTCAGTGATTAAAATTAAATTCAAACATACCGCTCCATGACCTAGCGTGGTTTTGATATTATCAAGAGTAGTCATGTTCCATTTTCTTTTGGTGTCATAGAAGTTTCTTTTATTTATCAAGCCAATGCGGTGGAACTGGATGTTTCCTCTTTGTTCCGAGTATACCATACTAAAAAAACAAACTGAACGTTATTAATGTGTAATGGTAATTTTGCTTCAAGCTTGAAACAGGCTATTGGTTCTGTATCTGTATCTTTAAAAAAATATTTAATATTTTGTTATCCCCAAGTGGTTTATAGAGTATTATATGGCATGGATTTGCTTATTACAGTGACTTGAAGTTGCTAAAATCCTTGTCATTTGGTCTTTTGCTGATAGTTGTCCGCATGATAATCATATCACATCTCCTCTTTTGTTTATACTAATTTGATACTACATTTAAAGAAGTGTAATATTCCTTGTATACAATAACAGCAGTGGAGAAAAAGAAAAGGCGGCTATATAAAAGGAAGTCCCAGAACATCTTTCTCTAATCATCCTTTTCGAAAAGACGATTGAATATGTTTTGAATTTTTTTAATCTGCACATAAACAAGAGCTATGAGATCAATGATTGAGTAAGATGAAGATTTGAATAAATACACAAAGTCTTTCACTTCTTTATCAAACCATCAAATTCTTTATATCTAAAGGCGTTGTACCTTATCTATTAATGCTTCAGATATTTAACAAAATTTTCGAAATTGAAAGCCAGAAGGTATTGATGCATTGCTGGTGAATTTCATTATCATTTCGCCTTTTATTTTGATATGAAATTTGACGTATACCCAGTATAGCATCACATTTTACACCGGTATGGAGCAGAAACTGCTTACCCTTCTGGTCCACTTGAGTTCACGCGGGTTTTTTGGGAGATGCGTGTTGCACAATCATTAGTTTTCTGTATATACGTGTTTTGTGGACTTGTTTGTCTTTTCGTCGTTTTCGTTTTTTGTCATGGCGTCAGTTTTTCTTCGACTTATGAGTTTTGAATGTCCCTTTGTATCTTCCTCCTCATTTTTATTTCATTTTCTTTTTCCCCCTCCAATGTAATAAAACAAATCACGTTAAACAACTTATATGATGTCATTAAGTTCATTTTATGTCTGAAATAGATAACAAAATTTACCTTGGGTCAAAAGAGTGTACTTCGCAATCGTAGGTCTTCACAACATCCTCATCAAATCCCCAGTCCCAGTTTATACTAAACAAAAAGCCAAATACATATTTAATCAACATTTTTTTCTCATTAAAAAAAAATAATATTAAATCAATCGTGTATGCATACTATATGGAGTTGGTTTAACACTTCCTTACTTATTTCCAAAGATATTTCTTCATTGAAACAAGAGATAGTCAGTTACAGGTCATCAACTGGTGACTATCAGCTTCATAACTATCTTTTGCATACATACAAGACAAACTGGTATATTTATTTTTCAGAAAAAAATGAGATAAAAGCATTGTTTTTTCGATTTAAGATATAATTCAACGAGCCAAAGTTGTATGCAAAATTTTACCAAAATCTTTGACATAGCCCATTTACTGTTCCTTGGCCTTAAATTAAATTAACATACCCAAAAGAATATACCAGACAAGGATGTCTTGGCCTAAATCTTATGTCATTACATACTTCCCAACCGCCATCTTTGATACTTCCTAAGCGAATAATTTCCTTGCAGTGCATTTGTATTGATGTGAGATAACTGAAAATAGGAAAATTGTTGCAAATAACAATGGCATTCTTTATACTAAGATACTCTGGTGCTAAATTTTTAATTTACTTAAATGAAAAAGAGCAAAAATTGCGGAACTACTCAGAAGTCGCTCTGTTTGATTATATTTTTAATTATATAGTTATACATTTCAAAATAAATCTTCGTGTGTTATACATTTCAAAATAAATCTTCGTGTCTTTCAACAGAGATAAGAAATAGTTGAAATGTTCATGTTTTCTTTCTTATTTAAAGGCATTTAATTACAAAGAGGTTGCTTCCGTGCAAAATTGTAAAATTTTTAAATAAAAATAGATAACAAATAGACATCCACAATTTTCTCTTTAACCAATTACAATGAAAACTTACGATAATTAAAAATACGCCCTGTTTGTGTAAAACATAGACTTTTTGATATATCAATAATATGTATCTATTTAAAGGGATGATTAATTTATGAATTCCAATTTTCAGTTAAATTTCTTTGATTGCCTAATTGATTGATGGATGGATTGTTGTTTGGTGAACGTCCACTTACAAATAATTCATAATTTCCAGGACGAGAACAAATGAACGAATGATCTTATTAGTAAACTCTGAAATTTGGGACGATATGGATGATTGGTTGGAATTTTCGACTATACCTTTGAAAAGAAATGCTGGATAGGGGCATAGTATGTCCCTTCAACGGGTCATCTACGTAAACGAACCTCTCAAGTAGTTGTTGAGAGCGTAACAATCTCCCTACATGAGGCATAGTATTTAACATCGGTCGTGGATGCGTATTTATACATCCAGTACTACCAAACGGACGCTCTCAAGCAAAGTTTTTGCTACTGGACTGGATAAGTCCATATGACCATATTGCAATGACCTAATCAAAACTTGCGGTTCGGACCATTCTGACTATTCTATTGATTTGCTATATTTTGAATAATTATAAAACTGGCGGTATTTACGGATTTTTTATTCTTACCCGTTCTGTCAACAGTGTCAATTGTCAAGTCTAAGTTGACTTAAGAGAGTTTGGAATGCAAATGAGCTTCATGATTGACTCTTTTTGGTTTATTTTGCTATTAATGAAACAATTAGTTCACAGTACATCTTTCGTTATAATATAAATTCTTAATCTTGAAAATCTTTTGTTTCGCAAGATATCCAACTAATATACTTTTCCTGAACTAAAAGGAATATTTGTTATAGATCTAAGAATACCTGTGGCTTCAATAACCAGACAAGAGGGACAGATTCAATCGGGGTACGCCCCCTAAAATAGGTAACATATGTTTTTTAAGGTAGAGAGGGTAAACAAAATGCAATAAATAATATCGTCGATCCGTTCGGTGAAACTATTACGGTCGCCCCACCCCTTACTTCAAATCTGCGCAAGGATCATGTGGGATAATATATATATATATTAAAAACTGGTTTTACATGTAAATACATGTAAATTAATGCGATTTCTTATAAAAAAATATATTTACCGTAAGCTCATAAACTGTTCGATTTCGTCTACTTTCATATTCTTCAGGAGAAATTCATTTTCTGGAATCAAAACATAGCTGTGTTCTACCTTAAACTAAACAGAACATTTTGTTATTTAATGGATAGACAAGGAATGTAATAAAAGTGTTTTAATGCATCAACATTTATACTTTTGATAATTATCGCATCTTTTTTTGCAGCAACTTCATCTCTTGTAGTTTTCCATATTGCCTTGAAGACTTTTTTCTTGTTAACTAAAGCTTTTCTTTTCTCTGTATTTTTTTTTTTAAATCGTAAAGACGATAAATAAACATACTTTGAGATTTCCTTTCAAATTTCATTCACCAGCGAATAGACGTTTAATATAAATCAACATGTAATATGATAAGATATTACAACATGCAACATGCAATATGATAAGATTTTCCAGCATACAACATGTAATATGATAAAATACTACAATTTAATGTTTCCACGAATTTTCATGCGCATAAAATTTGAAGAACCTACTAGTTTCCAAGAATCTTTGCAATCTTTGTGGACCTGCAAAATAAATCAATTATGTTCAAAAAATATAAACAATAAAACAATTACAGCGAAGGGATCGTTTCCAGGTCCAATGTATTAAAGCGTGTATGAATACCAGATTGTCTCAATATGACTAGTTTAGCAGGTACCAGCATTTCATTTTGGTATTTTTGTCCTTCAATAAAAGTCTTCAATACCCAGAATTGGATGATGTCCAAAAAAGTATTTTTCTGTTGATTTTCCTCTATTTTAAAGTTCAACTCCGCTCAGCCCGTGATATGGTCAATGTTCAGAGAGATCAGAGAGTGTATTGCAATATCTCCGATCAGGATAATCTATAGAGATTTATAACATCTATTTGATATAAATAAGAAGATGTGGTATGATTACCAATGAGACAACTCTCCATCCAAGTCACAACGTATAAAAAGTTAACAATTATACGTCAAAGTACGGCCTTCAGCACGGAGCCTTGGCTCACACCGAACAGCAAGCTATAAAGTGCCCCAAAATGACTAGTTTAAAACAATTCAAACAGGAAAACCAACGGTCTAATCTATATAAAAAACGAGAAACGAGAAACACTAACAAACGACACCTCTGAACAACAGGCTCCTGACTTAGGACAGGTGCATAAAAATGCGGCGGGTTTAAACGTTTTAACAGGCGCCAACCTTCACCCTAACCTGAGACAGTAGTGTAACATTACAACATAAAAAACACACTATGAAATATCAATTGAAATGGCTTAACTCGATCAAAAAGACATTTAAACAAAAACAAGTAAACATACACTAAACAAATAAGTTTGAACGAATACTTAGCTATATATGACGGTCTTATTGTGTGGATGGTTTTGGTTTTAAAATTTCAAACGAGCACATGATGAAGGTTATTCCAGTAACTCGTTCGTTACGCATTTAAAGTGGTGTGTGGCGATGCTATGTGTAATACAGATGCTATTTGTACTAAAATTCACTACACATAGTGTACACAATGTGTAAAAAAGATATACTTATTGTAAATAATACATAAATAGCATTAAATTTACGCAAATTTCATATTTCCAACAAAAGAGCTTAAGGGGCTAATATGAAAGTATTATCAATTTCTTCAAGATATTATAGCACGTCTGTTCGCATCGTCAAATGACAATTCGTCTCCACTCGTCAAATTCCCCAAAATGTTGTACAACAATATTTTATAGTAAGATGCAAGAATTTATTTATATTTGTGTTGCTAATTTGGAACATGTAACTTGTTTTTGTGATTTTGGTAGACAAAAGTGTTTAATACTACACTAACTGTTATATAATTTATTTACCATATCAATTTGCATACAGTTTGTCCGTTTTCTATCTATTCTCGAAACACAGGAGTAGTCTAAATCAAACCAGAAAACCCGGAAACCATGGTCATAAAACCTTCTTAATTTACACAGTATCGGCTTATAGTCAACTATTATATAATCTTCATTGGTAAGACGAACAGAAATTTGTTGAATTTCATCTACGATGTGAGTCTTGAAGATTTTGGTGATAACTAAGTTTGTGTAATGTTCGGCATCAATGATGAGTATGTGTTGCTTGAGCTAAAATATCACACAATTTGAAAGATTACATACTCATTTTTTATATTACTGAATTGCAATGATATTAAGTTGTAACAATAAATAGGAAATTGTTAATGTATAAATGTGTAGATATGCATTTGAAATATACAAATATCAGTATTAGTTATTAGACTATGTCGGTGCTTTACGGGTATGCTGCTCGGAATAATCTTTTGGCTTTTTTTTGTGTGTTGTGTTGCTGTCTTGTAAACGCATAATCCGTATCACCCTTTAATTTTCCTCGTTTGTATTTTTATGATTTGTCGATGCTCTTTTAAGGGCAATATCACAGAAACTAATTTATTACATGTATTATACTTGAAAAAAAACGATAAAAATTAATAATATTACAAGCCGCCGAATGACATTATTGCCCCTTCTTAGTCGTAATAAACACAGAACAATTTGATAGCAGTGAAAATAATTAGAAAAAAAAATAAAAATCGTATCTACATCATAGATGTTAAAAGTAACTACCAACATTTGTACTCTTTAGAAAGTCTTTGATACCATCCATTGTCCAAAGTCGCCTTGTGTCTTCAAGTTTGTTCCTTGACTTCAATTTAAACATAACGTCGTTTCTTTTTCTCATAGAATCTCTAAAACAGAGTTATTAAAAAATCTCTCAGACAAATACGAATGTTTTACGTTGTCATCTTTGGAAAATGAATGTCGGAGTGTTTAAATAATGAAGATATCACTGTATGAACACTCTTATCTTAAAATTTATTTTCTCAATTACCGAGTAAAGTTGTTGTTGTTTGTCCTGAGAATTATCCACATAAAAGTATATTACAGAACAAATTGGAATCCAGTAGGATCCAGAACCCTCCAAGTACAATTTGGAATTCCAATTTCTATTAGTAGAATTAGAATTCTGATTTATACTGATTAAAAGAATTCCAATATCTACTCTTAGAAATAAGAATTCTGATTTTTACATCGCGATGACCGTGAGGGCATTCCGATGTATTGCTATCGCCTAGATTTCCATTACGTAACTTTCGTTTTGGGTTTGTAACCGATCTATAAAAATGATAGATACACGGATATTAACGAGTGCAAAATAACATTCCTTATCGCTTGTTATAAAGACATCTCTTCAATGAATACTGATAACAATATTTTTGTTTAGAACATAAATTAATTATATGAAAATGTTTTGTCGTTAGATATATATATATAAGTAAAAAATCATTGATATGGTAAAGCATGCGGAAGAATATCTCAAGAACATTTTGCGACAATCCCGACAAGGACCGGTAACTCTGCATTGAAGATTGTTTTTGCGGGAAATATGAATGCCTACTCATATTCAATCTTTTAGAAAAATCGAATTTTTACAGAAGAGTGTCCACCATGCACTTGCTTTGCACTTTTATTAGAGTAGTAGAATAGAATGATATACAAATGGATGAAAATATAATATATAACAACAAACCAGTGTATACTGATTTGTATCACTACAATATAATAGTTATTACGGTGAGGTTGAATTTCCTGTCATTTATTCATCATCCACGCACGAACTTGTCTCAGAAAAAAAATATCTCTGTACATTAACCTCAGTTTCAGGTATAGAGATGTGATTTTTTTCTGTGACAAGTGCTTTTGACAATCCACAAGAACTTGCGGTCATCCGATGTTCAGTACTTCAGTACTTTGATTACTAATTACAATGTAGTATGAATCAGAATATTAATAACTACTAGTAGAAATTGAGATATACTAGGAGGATTCTGGATTGATTGTTATTCCAAGTTAGATCCAGGATATTACTAAAAACCACAGTAACTATGATTCCGCATTGTTCTGGATTTAGTTTTTGTTTGTTATTTTTACTGATGCACTTGGGTCCTAATCGCGGTCCGCGTTAAAGCCATGTCGATATCTAAAAAAAAGACAACGGATGGAAATAAAATTAAGCTCAATATTGAAGGGTCAAAGTTTATTAAAAAAAAACCATTTGATTATTTGTACTCGCTACGGTACAGTAGAAAAACGAGGTTCATATTATATTGTATATTAATTTACATATCTTACCTCGGACTAAATCGATATGCAGTACTATTAAAGAAAGCCGAAAGACCATAAGCGTTTGGATAGTCGTCACGAATGCTGAAATGGAATTTATAACCATACAACCACTGAACCATACATTATATATGATGAGTGGTGTATCATTATATTTTGTCCTATAGCTGCTTTAATTCGGACTGTAAGCTACATTTTTACATAAACGTATGGAGGTACTCAAATCCTTTAATGTTGTATATAAGCACATATTTAATTGCTCCTTTTAAATGAATAATCTGTGGACCAAACAATTATTGTTAACTGTTTTTTTTTTTCTTAAAACAGAGGACGTCTGGAATTAGATATAGGGTAGGTACTAGAGTTGCAGGGACGTACGACCAATTGTCACTGTCCTCATTATAGACTGTTAAGAAGTGTCAGAAGAACAATAAGTATTTCATTACGTAATATTTGTGTAATAAATCTTATATTTGGTCGCCTTTCTATACATATATAACAATAATTGGTGAAAACCAGAAGTTTTCTTTCATTTTAAGAACTAAATGACATTAGCATATATTGTTTCATAAAAAAAAAGAAGATGTGGTGTGATTGTCAATGAGTCAATTTTCAACTAGTATAAGAGATAAAAAAAAATGACGTAGAAGGTAGCACCTATAGATCGTACGGTCTTCAACAATGAGCAAAACTAAAACCGCATAGTTAGCTACAAAAGAAAAATGTAAAACAATTCAAACGAGAATTTATTTTCTTCGAGATTCCAAATGAAAAGCTAATAATACTACTATATTCCTCGATCTAACTTAATAGATGAAATAAATCACCATTCTTTTCAAGCTATTTTCTCAGAACCGATCGACAATCATGAATACTCAATTATTTTGCTGATATTTGTTAAAACCTTAAGAATGCTTCTAGAAACTTAGGCAAGATTGTATTATTACCTGAATGCAATAACTTTTGTATTACTGTTTGGTTTATAACAGCCATCAATACAAAAATTCCAACTATGTTCCAATTGACCATGATGGCTACGTTTAGCACAATAAGTCTGTAGAGTTGTAGTATATCTAGAAATATTTTAAAAGATCGACTTAATTAAAAAAAAAGTCACATAATTTTCTTAAAAAAATAAATACGGCTGATGGTTAAAAAAAAACACGCGTACGACACGTATTTCTGTAAAACCTCTCATCAAGCACGCTCGCGACTTATGTGTGGACAGCAAACATCTGAGCATCAACACCAACAAATCTTAAACAAGGTCTAGGGTGAACTTTCCCTGAAAATATTGCAACCTTGGTTTTAGTACCATGGTTTATGATATATAAACAGCGCTGGAATGGTCGCTACTTTGTCCAGTTTCTCACTTTGGGATATGACTAAAAACATAAAACGGGTAATATAACATCATCTGAATCTGTTTTGGATATGTCTCAATGTACTTTTATTAATAATCAGACTTGAAAAGATTTTGAAATTTTACTTTATTAAATGATCTTCTTCTTGACTGTATTTTTCATAAATAGATTTTCTAGTATTAATATCTTCAAATCAGGAACAATTTCATGCAATTGTGATATTTTGCAATAGTATCGGTAAGATATGTATATTATTACATACAATATGTTCAATACAGGACTGATTTCTGATTGTTAGCTATGGATTTGAATCTGCAATTTAATATAAGATACTGATGATAGAAGTCAACAGACGACCTGTTATACTTTTTAGAGCAATTCATTGAACAGTGTAGCAAACAAATGTAGCAACATATCTCCTGGGTAGCGTCACTTGGCTCTGGTACATGAAAGAGAGGCGAAAGATACCAAAGGGACATTCAAACTCATAAGTCCAAAATAAACTGACAACGCCATGGCTTAAAAAGAAAAAGACAAACAGACAAACAACAGTACACAAAACACAACATAGAAAACTAAAGACTGAGCAACACGAACCCCACAAAAAATGGGGTGATCTCAGGTGCTCCTGATAGGGTAAGCAGATCCTGCTCTACATGTGGCACCCGTCGATTTGCTCATGTTAGTACAAACCCGGTAATAAGTCTAATTCGGTAGGTCACATTCGGGGAAAAGGGGATGGGATTGTAGTTACGACAATTGGAACATATCCGCTATCATCTGTGAAACGGATATTCCATAACTGTTAACAAACTCGTGATGGCGTCCGTAAAATTTATGAAGGGATGATTTCAACTTCACCACATGGAAGTCTTGGTTTAATAGCTTCCTAGTGAGCAGCAATCCTCTACCAAGGAAATCATAATAGGAAATACAAGCCCTGGAATATCGTATCAACTGAGAGATATTTACTCCGTATGCAAGCGCTGATGGAATGTTGCTACATAGAAATGGAAAGTTCACAATTAGGAAGCTGAAATCTGAAATGTAATGAAATATGGCCACCCTAACCTCTTTCGTTGGATGAACCTGTTTTGACAGTCTAGGATATATAAATGCATAGTCACGCCAGGAAGGAATAGGGCAATTCAATCCGAGACTTTAAGGAAACAGCAATCAATCATATCCGTGCATCCTTCTCGACATGAACATTCGTTTTATCGCAGCACATAGATTGTGACTTCCTCTACATGATTATTTTATTTTTTAAACAGTCTTGAAGGTGAAAAGGGATACACGTTATTTCCTATTCTTGTTATTTGATGAACTAAGGTCAAACATATTCTGAATTGCATGTTAGCCAAATAACATTGTTTTAAGGGGGTACCCAACACTTTGATTAAAATAGATTTGGCTCGTTTAATTTTCATAAAATGTTTACAAAATATTTCCCTTGATCTTTTGACAAAAATATAAAAAAAATCAAGAAATTTGAACCACACAATTTACAGGAATAATTTCATTGGATATATAGCAGTTTGACAAACACTATTTTTAATCATTGAGAAGCTTGATATCTTCTTACTAATGGTATGTGATTAAAACGTTCAGCTGATTTCTAAATAGTTAACTCCCTTAGATGTTCTGTACTCCATGAAACACGACTAATAGTCATCGTGTGCCATAGCGTAACAAAATTTTAATTTGTCTTTGTGTAACGACTACTGAGGAAAACAATCGGTTTAGAAAAATACTCTCTACCTGTGTTACAATGTATACCTTCTGAATAAACACTCGGCTATATTATGAGGTAACAACTTCACAACATCATCTCGGGGTATTATAAAATTCCCTTCAACATCACGATCTATCCATTCATCTAACTGTAAAAAAAATATATATAATTTTAATTCATGTTTGACTGTGTTTCCTTCAGAGATAAGCATCATCATCACGAAATTTAAACGAAAATTGGGTTTGAATTTTTAAACTTTCATCTAAAAAATACAATTTAACCGATCATTTAATTTGTCAATGAAAAATATTTTTCTAACGATTTCAGTAGTTTCTTTTCAACAGTTGATTTTGACTTTGACGTCATGTTCCCAACAAAAATAAACAAGCGTACAGTTGGTGCCAAGTCTGTGAACACGAGTAATGCACTCCTCCTTCATTTTTTTCAGTACTAACATTTCGGTACTTACTGTGTATATGCAGTTGGTGTCATTGACTGGTTTAAACAATAGATTCTGTAAATAAACAAAAAGTTGACTGCGTTTTAGTGCTAACCAAACCCAAATAGTTATTCAAAGTTTCGAAAAACAGAAAGAATGTGTCTGACAGATCCCAAAATCGCTAACACGTTACAAGACATCACTACCAAGCTGCTCACCAAATATGAAGTTATCTGTTTAGTTGTACTGAAGAATGAGTTACAAAAGTATTAATTCATTCAAAGTATTGAAAAATTCAAAGTACCAGCAAACAAGAATAGGTGTCTGACAAATAGTAAATTTGACAAAGACGCCAACAAAAATGTGTAGGTGATAGTAAATTGACAAGGACGCAGATTAAAAAGTTTTTGCAGGAAATAGCAAGAACACAAATAAAAGGAAAAATGTAAAGTAAATAAAAAAAATACACAATTTCAGTACCTCGAATCAATAGCTCAAGACCATCTTGTATTTATTTTTGAAGTAGAAACTGAATATTTATCTATTAGTTCTTGGTACTTCCCGATGAACTTTTTGAGCAAAAGAACGAGACGTTCTTTGACAAAACCCTAGCTCATTCATTTTTTGCTCAAACACCTATGACGTTTAATAGTCTGTGTAACTGCTGCAAGTTCTTGGTGGTGTAAAGGGCGGGAAAATCAAAGTTTTTGATAGAATTTATTTCAGAGAATTGCCGAGATTTTACCGTTTGTTATTACCTGAAATTTAAAAAATATTGAGATTTTTTAATATTTACGAAATTACGTTTCATTTCATTGACGGATTTAGCTACTTTCGAGATTATTAATTTGATTCTGTCACAGCAATTAATATTATAATGTTTTGTGTCAAACAATTTCATAGTTGTTTGCTGTGAATTTGCAAAGTTTAATAAGCCTTGCTTTCTTTTTTGCTGAAATCAATATTTTATGCTTTAAAATATTTGGTCTGGTTTAACTATATTTGTGTATGTTAATTTCTTCTCCTGTTCAAAAAATGGACATTCCAAGATAAAGTGAAACTCGTCCCCAATTTCATTTTTACTACACAAAGTACAGTTTCTGTTTTGTTTGTAGGTGTTATACCATCTACCAGCTTCAAAAGGTAATTTATGATTTGCCCGTTCTAAATCTGCAAAATTATACTAGATTTTTGTTATCTAAAATATGTAAATAAACCTCAGAACTAAAATTGTCTTTAAATACTCTGTAATTTACAGCTTTGGGTGTTTCCTCTAACAATAAATGACCTTTCTTTAAGGTTTCTACTAACTGTCAGACGCAATCAATTCAAATTCATAAAAGTTTGTGTGTTCTAAATATATGTTAAGCATATTCAAAAACATACAACTCACTTCTTTAAGATTATCTTGGTATTTTCTGTACTGTATATTTGTCAATGATGGATGAAAACTTTCCAGAAATATCATTAAACAAACTACTGCAACTCCAAACCCAAACAGGACAGGTTTTCTCCATTTATGTTGCATTCTTACCTGTGTTTAACAGATGCTGTATAACAACAAAATTATTATTTTCATGGTTGGTGCGTTGCAGAATTTATTCAAAATGTTGTAAGATATTATATTTTTATTTTGTTCCTATTTCACTTTAGTGTCGAGCTGGTGCTAGCATAACCTGATACTGTACATGTTCTCACAGTATCAATATTGAGGCAGATTGTGTTTGTTGATTTTTTACAGTTTGCATCGGAGAATGGCACTGATGTCTTTTGTGGATATAAGTACCCTTAGATATTTCGTTTACAAACTTGTTTGTGCACTGAAGTCGATATCATATTTCACATGTATATTAGGGAGCTACCATTTGATTTTTATGGTGGGGGGAATTTTGTCCTGCATTTTTTTTAGTTGTAATCTCTGTCCTGCCTATTTATTTTTCACTCTATTCAGTCCTGCCTTTTCTTTTTATCATTTTATCCTAACTTTTTTTACATAAAATGTCATCCGGCCTTTTTTTTGCAAAGTTGCTCATTATGCCTTTTTTTTTACTCAAAACTCCCGTCCTGCCTTTTTTCAAATTTCAACCTAGCCCCCCCCCCCCCCCCCCCCCCCCCCCCCCATAAAAATCAAATGGTAGCTCCCTTACTAGCATTTACATTAAAAAGTTAATGTGTATGTAAAAACTGATATAGTCGAATGCAACATTGTATTTCTTCATTGTAATGTACTTTTAAAAAACATTTCATGATTGTTTGATCCATTTCAGATAATATCAATTTGTCATTTTATCTTTCATAGCAAAAAGTTTCAGAATTATATTTTATCGTAAATATTTGAGCATAAAAAACAAAACAATGACTTACTTATTTGATTATTGATCTACTGTCCATGTTAAGTTTTATAAAAATAGTAAACTTAAGACTCCCAAACAATAGTGTTCAGTAGTGCATTTTATATCAAGTGACGCATACCCTAATTACAAAAAATGAAACATATACACCTACCTTTTAAATTAGACATAAAATATGAGCATAGTGTTCTCATTGTTAAATTTAAGTTCATTAGGGCGATGTGGGGGCATATATATTTCCTGTATAGAAATAGATATAAATAGATATAATTTCTTAGTTCTAAACATTTTCAATGCCAACTTATTGACAAAAAAAGAGAAAAATTGGAAAAAGAACTTCTTCATTTCTAATTAACAAAAACGCATGCAAAGAAAAACCCATGTTTACGTACTCCGGTTCATTTTATGACATTCCCGTTTTTTTCTGTGTTTTTTAAATTATTATTTCTTTTTAATTTGGATTTCTGTTTGTTTTTATTTGGGGGGGGAGGTCAGGTGCGATGTCATTTTGAATAGCCTAGAGTGTTTCGTAATTGTATACGTATTTCCTTTTTTGTCTTTAATTCTGCCTGGCTATCTTTGATTTGTCTCGCTTGAATGCTCTTTTTTATTTCTAGTTCTGGTTGTTTCCATCTTCTAGGTTACAATAAATAATTGAGTAACTTTGCCGCAGCCTTTGAAGATATCATGGTATTCAGAATTAAAAGAATGGTTAATCCTGATTGGTCGTTGTCTACTACCGACATTTATTTTTACTAGGCATCGCGTGAACTGTTCCAAAGGCAAAATAACATAGTGTTCTTAGCCCAAAGGAACTCACAGGTAAGGCGAAGGGTTGGGGCACCCACAAACATGTTTAACCCCGCCACAATATATATTATTCTGTCCCAAGTGGTTGTCGTTTGTTGCTGTATATCATATTTGATTATCATTTATTGTTGTGAACAGATATCAGGCCGTTAGTTTTTTCGTTTGAATTGTTTTACATTTGTCATTTCGGGATCTTTTATAGCTTTCCATATTACAACGATGGTATTGCTCATTGTTGAAGGCCGTACAGTGACCTATAATTGCTAACTTCCACGCCATTTTGGGTCTCTGGTGGAGAGTTTTCTCACTGGCAATCATACAAAACCTTCTTATTTTTATAGGAAGTATTTTGTAAAATGTGACTAAACATGGTTTTAGTGCAGAATTGTTAGGCAAGGGAGATAACTCAAAAAAGAGTTGAGAAAAGCAACGAGAACATATACTTTTGGACTAAAAAATGGATAATTATATCAAAGATTTGTTCTAAAAATAAGCTTTCCTAATCCTGCTTCTTGAGAAAACCTACTATTGTTGCTTATGGAAAAACAATAATTTTAGTAGTTTGCAATCTCTAATAATAACAACGTCATACATATATGTGACAAATAAGGAAAATGATAATGATTATGAAATAGCGAAATTTTATTAAAAGTTAAAAATATATTCTAAATGAACACTATTTGGCAATTCTTATGGATAGATCACAACTATATGTAGTGTTACAAATTTGAAAACGTTCTCTCTGCTATAAACTATTTTTGTTGTTATCTTTTTCCTATTATTTCCGCTGAACCAACAGAAGAGTTTCCAACCTCCAGACCAAAAAATCTGTAAAAAATATATATTTGATAGTTATAAACATGATAAATGCTAGTATAAATTTTCACCTTATCCCTTCTAAATATCACATTCGTTAAAAAAAGATTAGACGATTAAATAACCATGGGGGTAAATACAAACCATAAGAGCAAATGATCAAACTTTTAAGTTATGACAAATAATGTATGTAGGAAAGAAATGTAATTCAGCATTTTAGATGTTGTAATATATTATTGAAATTTTGTGACTTTCAGAGCATTAGATGGAATAAAGTATTTGAGCGATTAGTGAAAAAAAAGGTTAATTTACAATAAAATCGTTTTTCTTCCTAGAAAATGACAATCAATTTAGGGAACGAATTAGAAAATTGAAATGGATTGAAGCTAAACACTTCCATTATAGAATTAAATTATAATGTATATATACCTATTATGTAATCCCAATAAAGCTATATCTGGTGCTGTTACGTGAGATATCAACTTCATTGTCTTGGCATCAATTACACAGAGGAATGCTGTAAAAAATCCAAATGTCATTCTTCAAATGATCATGCAGCAATGCTATTTTCTAGATAATGTATTTGTCTACAAATTTAAATCAAGTTAAATCAAGAGGTTTTAGTTCATTCATCTAAAGGAATTGAAATAAATACGGATTTATGAGCATAATATTGATGTATATTAAGAGGTTATAACTGTTCCTATAAAATGTATGCTGGTCAAGAGTCTTTTACCATTAACTCATATAATCATATCTTTTGCCTGTTGTTTATATGACCAAACAATGTCTTTGAATGATATTTCTTTTGATTAGCCTTCCTCTGAATTAATCAGACTAAAATGACGTTTGTAATAAAATGATTAAAAAACAATTAAAGAAACCTTGAAATCTAAATCCCTTTAAAGCTTTTAAACTTTTTTTTCAATTCTAATAGAATTGTAGCAGCATCAGAAGTGTCAAAATTAACCACACAGTCTTCGCATTTTAAGAAAAAAGGGTTATATTTTATTTTGTAAAGAAAAAAAGACACATCCACAATGAAACAAAACCCACATGAAATAGATAATTTACAAAACTCCTGCTCAAATAGATGACGACTGAAAAACAAAATCTTATTCAAAAAGAGGAATTAATTTTCCGCATAAAAAGTTCCCCGTTGACACAGCACTTGATTACAGTTTACCTTTATGTTTTGTTCCATCGACCCCTTGTGCTAGTAAAACGCCATCATCTTCTGCTGTTGAATTAGGTCGGGACACAAATTGAGGTTCTTGAACAAACATTCCCTCCGGGAAAACATATTCCGTTTCAACACCAGTATCCACATTTAACTGTATAAGATTAAAAGGTAAAACATATAAAAGGCATCACTAATACAAAATCTATTCGACATAGAAATAAGAAGATGTGGTATGAGTTCCAATGAGACAACTCTCCATCCAAGTCACAATGTGTAAAAAGTAAAAAATCATAGGTCAAACACGGAGCCTTGGCTCACACCGAACAGCAAACTACAAAGGGCCCCAAATGACTAGTTTAAAACAATTCAAACAGGAAAACCAACGGTCTAATCTATATAAAAAACGAGAAACGAGAAACACTTAAGAACTACATCAACAAACGACAACCACTGAACAACAGGTTCCTGACTGTTTTGAACTAAAAATCGAAAAAAAGCAGCAGTCTAATGAACACGTGTTGCATTGTTTTAAATCTCATACATGTATAAAGAGACATATCAAATACTGGACATCATATTCTTAAATTGACGTTCAAGAGGTACATTTTTTTTTTGTAGATTTTACATTTTAATTATTAGTCAAATCTTTCTTGTCCATCAAGAGAAAAACTTCCAAAAAAGCTAGCAAAGTACGAACTTAATTAATAATATTTTGATGATTAGAGCAAACAATCTCTTGGAATATAGTAGCGTTGCAGAAAGAAGTTTGAAGAAATTATGAAAAGTACCTTAGTCACAGCATTTATGTCCGCTCTGTCGAAATTCCTACTCATATAAGCATACGTATATTTCCTACCATTGTATGCATAGTTGATGTTTGACATTTCAAAGGCAGCAGGAGAACCACTACGGAGATTCTTAAACATTGCTGTCCAGTCAGTTGTATTAATAGTTATTCTTGTTACATTAGTAGTGTATGGAGTCTACAATAGAATATAATGGTTAAAAGGAACAGGTCTGTCATGATATATATTGATTCAAATCTCTAACATAATATTTCAATTTTTCAAAATTTCAAATTTATGTAAAACACAAAAAGTATAATGGGAATTCCCTGAACAGAACAAATCCGATTACGTACCGGTACTTATTATAATAAAGTAACTGACCGAGTAACGATAATAATGGATTTCAATGGAACACTTTTTTCAATTCTTGAATTCAAATAATTTTCATCTATAAACTGTCGCGTAGTTATTTTATATTAGGAACAGACCGTTGGTATATAAAACTTACATTAGCCATAAGACTAGTAATATATGTCGTCCTGTCATATATAGAGGCGTCATCATACATTAACATATCCATATGTATCAATTCACCATCTTCATACGATCCAAGCTAAAAATCAAAATGACATATACATTAAACAAATTTCTGTGACCTCGCACAACGGTTTTGTCTGTTTCCACTAGTCATACAGAAAATCTAAAACACAATTGTTTCCAAACCATGTCGCTAATTATTGTTATCGATTTCAATGTTTGATTGAGGACATAATATATTTTGATTATTTGTGACGTTGGGTTGCTGTCCCATTATATGTTCTGTTTCCTACTTTAAACAAAATATACATGTAATTTTGTTGATCGAGTCAGTCAACGAAATGGTTCATCTTTGTTTCACTTTCAATGTTGACATTCTTTTCCTTTTAATGGCTGATCACGACTAATACATGCGGGACCAATCTCTAGCTAATGGGTTAAATTGAAGGTCACATTAATACGGATTCAATGATGTCGAATTATTCACTTGCAAGTGAATAATTCATCACCGATGTTTCGTAGCTTATTTTGACAATATTGAACTAAACTGGCTGTAAAACTAATTCACTTTCATTAAAGATTTTTTATATCTCGTAGCTTATGCCCCTTTAAAAGAGTGAATCAATTGGATGACAATATCAACTAAACATTGAAAAAGACAATGTAAAACTATTGAGGTTTTATTCAGATAGCTCACCTGATGAGTTACGAAGAAAGGTTTTGCTTTAATACTGGCGATTATTTTACCGTCCGACTTCCTCATCACTACTAACCGTGACATACCTTTTTGTTCAAATTTGAACCCCTGAGGAAAGAATGGTTCCCCATTCTGGTAATGAGCTATAAACATAAATAAGATTCTTATAAACTTTGCGTGATAACTTTGTTAAAAACACTTAATTTCAAGATGAAACATGTAGATTTCTTGTCATTTGTATACAATGATACATAGTGTCTCGCAAGTCAGATGTTTTTGTGATACTGGTTGTTTTATTATGTATGTATATTGTGCTTGTAATTTTCTTATTGCAATATCAATATATGACACTTTAAAAACATTTTTTTTATTAACATTAATAAGCAGAATTTGCAGAATACAATCTGTGGCTTCGTGATTATTAATTATTGGAGCCATTAACTAACATAAAAATGCACACATGAAAACAAGACAAAATAGCATTAACATAATGTAACATATTTATCCCTGAAGCTTACCGTTCATAAAATTTTTAAATCGTTAAAAAAAAACTACGGTTTTCTATCCCTAGGCATTGGTTGCTTTAGCCATATTTGGCACAATGTTTTAAATTGTTGGTGTCAGTGCTCTTCAACTTCGGAATTCATTTAATCATTCAACTATTTGAATCGAGCACACAATTAACACATAAAGATTTATCCTTCATATGTATAAATCATCTAAGTCAAGGTAAATGTATTCTTAATTTTCTACATAAATGTTACCTTACCGTAAAAACAAGGATCATGCATATAGGCCGTCTCAGGGAGAATTATATATTTTTCTGTCGAGCTAAACGAGTGTAAATAGCCAAATCTTGAACTTAAATCTGGGTAAGTGTTGAATGGCTTTGTTCTAGAGCACTTTGTTAAATCTGCATCGTTATAATGGTATTCTCCAACTTTGTGTCTGATCCTATCAGCACCAACTTTGTAAATAATTCGCCTATAACATAAAACGTGTTTGTAATTGTGAAATCTTTGCCTAAACATATATTGTCAATGAAGGTTTATCATTGTTAACGATTCAGCACGTTAAAATTGTTCAAAATTACGACAAAAACATATAAAGGCAATGCATGAACGTTTTATGATAACATTTTGTGTCTATCCAAAATACGTATAACAATCTATTTATTTTCATACTTCGTCCGATGATATTTTGTTGCATTAGGCAGTACCTTCTTGCATAAGATTTAAGCTCATTTTCTTATGTCACAAATAACCGCAAATATGTACGAGGGCGTGCATGCGGTTTTAAGAATAGAGAATAATGGACCAAAGGTACAGAATAAAGGGCAACAATAAAATACAGAAATTTGGCAAAGAATAAAGAATGGAGAATAATGGACCAAAAAATTAAAGAAAAGAAAAATGGCCTAAAAAATCAATTGATACAGGAATGACGACCCACCTCAATCCAGACCCTCATGTACATGTTTCTGAATTTATCTAGCATATAGACAACGTGCATCAGTTTTGTATAATAATCTACCATGCTTTAGTATTTAAACATAAACTTGGATATTCAACAGTGAACCCGTTAAATTATAAATGTATCATATTTGAATAAGATGTCCAATGATGGCGGTTAAGACTGCGGTCACGATCCAATAATATATATTCAGGAAACATAATCCCTCTGTTATGTCATTTACCTCTGATAAGTGACTTATTTTAAATCTAATATCAGTTTTAACGATTAGGTAATTTTACTTGTGGGTTGAATAAATAAACCCACTATATATATTGTATGTTCTTCATTAAAAAAAATGAATGCATTGGTTCTAGTTAAATTAAGCCTTACAATATTATGGTTAATACCATATTGACTGAATTTCAAAGTAAAATAGTTTGTTTTTTTTTATTAAATAGGGTTGTCATTTACTCGTAAAAATGGCCAAATAGGTCAAAAATCATTAGTAAAAACTTTTTTTTTTGTACATATAAGTTCATATGATCTTTACCTCTCTTTGAAGTCTTTTATTAAATGGTGCGTTTTATTTTTCTTTTAATCGGTCAGTTGTCATTAATAACAAACAGTTCAATGTTCGACATATAAAGAGCAATGCTAATGATCTGTCTTAAGAGATGGTTAGAATTGAGTAACCTTGACCCAACTTAACATAAGTACATAGGGTTCATCCAATCAAGAAATTTCAATAATACTTCAGGTTACACAGAAAAGACGAATCAATTTACGGACAGATGAAATCAACTTGTGGCCATTACTAACACCCTGTTAGTTGAACTGTCGCTACTATATGACACTTTCGAGTATAAGCGACACTTACCAAATATTCAGGTTAGTCTGTGATGTAAATCTGACAGCTGTGACTGTGCTCCACAATGTACCGTCTGCTTCAGTGTGCTCATGTGCCGGGTTGTTAGTTAATTGGATACTTTTGCCATAGCCAAAGTTATTGTCTAGGTAACTTATATAACCATTATGCTCTACCTTTACTGGGTTAATCACTACACCTACAGGCATTTCTGTCATAGCAATGGCTTGGTTACCGATCTGCCACCAACTGACATGTGGAACTTCAACAATTTTGTTTGACTGCTTTCCAAATTGTTTAAAATTCTGTACTTGTGACAGGTTCTATAAAAAAGTTGGGTTTTTTTATATTTTGATGTATCAGAAATCTATTTCTACGATTGATTGTGTATTAAATTTTGATTATATGAATGCTGTCAATGTTTCTTAAGATTTTATACATAGACTGACGAGTCCTTATGTTTTCAAGTCGTCTCTTTCACTTTTATATTTAATACGCTTAATAAAATTTTGCACAAATAACTCTTACTTCAGATATGGAGGTTTATTTTGGATAAATATTCCTGTGCTAGATGATTCGTTATATGCATCTGCTTATTTTGTAGAAATACTGTAAATTTGCCCAATCAGTTGGTTACATCTAGATGAATATTTCTTCATAGTGTATGCGAAGACCGGTCTTTCGAGTCTTAAAAAATGAAACTTACTGCCTTGCTGTACGTTCCGGCCATAAAAACACTAGACTTGTTCATGTTCCTCCCATAACGATTGAAAAATTCGTTTGACTGGGTGTCATACCATCTATGTAAAAGACAAGTTTTGAATTTTAGAGCATAAATGCAAAATTCCTTTAAACTTGCTGTAACTAACATTATCTACATCCACTCGATCATGCATCTCTATTTTCCCATTTTAAAGAGATACCTTGTATCCATGTTATATTTTGTTGTCACATTTTGATTGTTTGGATAGATTGAATTTATGGTTTTCACTGCAGTATTAAATTATTTATTTTTTTCATTATTCTGTATTTTTTTATTATTATTATTATTTTATTTGCTTGTTTTCTCCTATACGAAAGTTTTTGTTTGTCACCACAGATTATAGATACATTAGAAGTCGAATATAATCAGACCGGGAGATGCAATCTCAAAAATTATGAAACAATTGGGGACAAGATAATTGTTAATTATAATAGATTGATTTTTTTAAGCTTTTTAACCCCACCAATTGTTTCTATGGCAATCTGGTCAATGGATTTTGCTCTTATATAATTTTTCTTTCTTGTATGTTGTCGAAATTTTAATGTTGATTCCAGATGACTAAGGTCGATTTACAATTTGTCATGTGGCTCTGGTGCTTGTCAGACATTCCTCCTAAACTTTTTTATAGCATTTGGGTCAAATTGATATTTGTGTACCTTAAAAGCTTTTTAAAGCTTTTTGTATAATTCGTTTCATTTGAGAATACGTGAGAATATACAAAAATAAAATTCTCATTCATTTTTTTATTCTCGTAACTGGAGTATTAGTGTTAATCAACAAATAGGATAGATAACTTGAGTGAACGTTGTTCAGTTCACCATCATGTTATAAAATAAATCCAGTAGTATGAAAATAAACTTGAAAATGGAAACGGGGAATGTGCTAAAGAGACAACAACTTGACCAAAGAGCAGAAACCAGCTCAAGGCCACCAATGGGTCTCCTACACAGCAAGAAATTCCCGCATCCGGAGGCGGGCTTTAACTGGCCCCTAAACAAAAATATATACTGGTTCAGAGAAAATGGACGTCACACTAAACTCCGAAACATATAAATGAACCAAAAATTTAGAAAAAATATGCAAGACTAACAAAGGGACATGCGCAAAAATGAGGCGGGGTTAAACATGTTTTGTGAGATCTCAACCCTCCACCTATACATCTAGCCAATGTAGAATAAACAAACACACAGCAATACGCACAGTAAAACTCAGTTTAAAAGAAGTCCTTGTAACAGAAGAAACTAAGCAAAATGACAATGATCAACATGAATTAACAAAGGACTATTAGCAGTTACTGACATTCCAGCTCCAGACCTCAATTAAACTGATTCATCATATGAAAATCAAGCATAATCCCTCCCGTTAGAGGTTTAGTACCATACCATCATAAAATATACGAGAAGAACATAACCCGTTTCATGCCAACAACTGGTTTTAGAATATATGTGTTTTATTTCCGATGCAAAGACCCTATGAGTGAATCAATATTAATTCCAAAAAATGCCATCTTTAATGACCTGACAACAGTATCGTAGCTATATCCCTTCAGAATAAGTCTGTTTAAAGGTTTGGTTAGCCTTTGAGGTGAATGACGACATTTTTGTGCTTTGTATAGAATATTACCATAAAAGATGGGATGTGAAATACCTGAACGTATAAGATGTCTGCACGTTGATTTATATTTACGAATGATGTCTTTGTACCGATGATAAAATTTAGTAAATGTTTTGACAAGTTTGTGTTATCGAAAACCCTAGTGTAATATATAATTTTTCAGTAATACAGAGATTTCTTTCGTTAAAATCAAATAGTATCGTTTGTAGCACGATCCAAGAGGAAGATCCTGCTTATAAGTAAGGCTTTCGTGACAAAACTTTTTGCAGGTATAAAATTCTTTTCAATTTTAATTTTACACTGTAAAAAAACTAGCCTAGTAAAAATGAAAGTAGTAGCGTATGTTTACTTTGATTTTTCGACATTTTGTTTACGACGGTTGTCACATATGGAGCAGGAAATGCATACAGGTTCCAGTTGCTCAAACTTTAGTTTTCTGCGTTTTGCTTTGTTAACTGTTTTTCTTGTTCGTATTCGTTCTTTTGTGATGATCTTGGCGGTTCTCCTTTAAATAAAGAGCTTTGATTGCCTGTTTTTTACAAAAACAAAATGTATCTTGTATGTCTTTTTTATCGTGTGTTCAATCAAGAAAAAGTAGAGGTAAAGTTTGGTTTAGATACTGAATGATTATATTTCATACCTATTTGTAAACGTCACTTGTCCATTTTCTAATTTGAACTTTGAACCAATTTCAATGCAATCGAAAAGATGGCTGATATAGTTGGGTTCGTTGCTATCCAAATGATCAGTTTCACCAAAGACACCACAGGAATGTCGCATAAAATTACCTTTTTGAAAGAAAAAAAATACATCAGATAATAATAATACACCACTTAATAATTATATACATGACATACTTTCTGCTAATATTTTAAAAGCTTGAATGTTACATTGTAGCGCAATATTTATCTTATTTTTTTGGAAAGGGGGGAGGGGTGTCTAAATAATTTCATGTTTCTCATAAGAATTATGCTTTATAATATCGACTATGTGCTTTAAAATAGGTAAACTTCATAGAGATAGAAACTCAACAGTAGAATTAGAAGTCAATCAAAAATAGAGATCTAGGCGTCACCATTGCATTGCATTTTTGTCAAACTGCAGTTTTAAAATAAATTATGGACCTATCTACTAAGAATTAACTAGATGCTGCTTTTTTCACGTCAGAAAATTTTATCAGAAATAAAACTGTGTTTAGGAAGGTTTTTTCTTCATCGACATTATAAGTCTAAGTGTCATTATTTCGAAGAAATTGCATAAAATAGTTTTTTCGTTATTTTCTTTACATTCCAAGTGAATATATTCATTTTGTTTTCTAAACTATCACATGGAAGTATGCCTTATGCAAATTAAGTATGCCATTAATTTCAGGGAAATGGTCAGCATGCTTATTGTAAAATTCTAGATATTTGATAATGTTGTGTGAAAGCTTTTCTACCATTTAACCATGTTGGGATGGTTCCACTCTCAACTGTTACTGTTCCGTCAATTGTTTCTCGTTGAATATCAGACAATCCCGCCATCAAAAACTGTTTCCGTTCATTTTCCGTGTATCCAAGAATGCAATTAACACCAAAAACCAGTGCCAGTAAGACTAGTAACATAATGGTTCTACAATAGAATAAAAGACCTAAAGCAGAACTCAAGCAATGCAATTTGATTATTAGCGATTAAATCAAACTTATAAACTTTGAATTAAAGTTACTGGGTTTGAATTTATAACAAGCAATGTAAGATGATTATTGAATTTTCACCCCATCGGTTGATCGTGTTAAAAATATATATGTATAGCAGCCTGGGTACCGTTTCACAAAGCCTTCGTAAGTCTTACGTGTCATCGTACGTTCATCGTAAATAAATCGTAGGTTTTACAGCCGTTTCACAAAGCCGTCGTAAGTTAAGATGAGCGTAAATAATACGTAAATCCTGGCGTAACTTACTACAGCTATACCCAGTCGTATATTTCCGCAAATATGAATTAAACCATATCTAAGATGGCTTTATTCTCGATCAAGATGCCGCAAATGTTAGAAGACGAAGAAGAATCTTCAATATTAGAACCACACTTTCTTCGTTTGATCATTTTGAAAATGAAAAGGATATTATATCCAGATACAGACTGGATAGACACAGTATCAATGAAATCACATTGGCAATAGAACCAGATATAAAACATGATACAAATAGGTCCCATGCACTTACTCCTGAAACGCAGGTTTTGTTAGCTTTGCGCTACTCACTGGTTCTCCGGTAAAGCGCCCATTTTATGACGCTGATTTGTCCCACCGTAACAAAGCAAAACTAACGACTTCGAGTTATATACCCGTAGCTTGTTATAATTAAATCTGAGATTTTTATATTTCTTTATTATCTATATTTTTTATTTTTATAAAGTTTAGTACATATTGCACAACGATAGTGATCGTACCGGCCGTCATAATGTTTTCTTCGTAAACCTGTAATTCCCGTTAACGGATAGAAGACCAAGCAAGACTAAATATTTAGCACAACATAGAGTGTGATATGAGTTAAATTTGATTATAAGGTTACCATAAATAATTTTGTTTATAACGTTACCATAAATAATTTTGTTAAATCGTCATTTATTCCAAATCATATCAGTCTTGAAAACTAAACAAAGTTGAAAACTGCAGAAATTTGTTAAGCATGTACTTCTTCTTCCTGGTACGGGAAAGACTCCGGTGCCGGAGTGTGTAATATCCCGGAACTGTGGCGCTATGTACATGCAAATGGATGTCGAAAATTTTGTTATAAGATAAAAATATTTGCCACAGTTCAATTACAATTTAAAATAACATTAGTTGTAGCTTAATGTTAAACATATTCACATTATGTACAGTGGCTTAATTACACTAATTAATTAGCCATACTAGAACCTCCAAATGTTAAGGTGGAGATACCACCTTTGAAGGATTCTAGGGAGGGTGACATGCAAATTGTTTCTGGGAGATCGTTCCAGACAGCAATAGTACTTGGGAAAAAAGATGATTTAAAAAAGTCTTTATTTGTATATATATGTCGAAATTTATGTAGGCCTCTAGTTCGCCTGTCAGATTGTGTCAGGACGTCATTAGTGACTTCGACCAACCCCCCATTAATCTCATAAATCAAGACAAGCTTAGCTTTTGTTCTACGGGATTGCAAGTTTTCCCATTTTAGTTTGTTTAACATACCAGTGACAGCACCTGGTGATCTATCGTTATAGTCATTAAAAACATATATTGCTGCCTTACGCTGTATCTGCTCAATTTGGTTTATTTGGCTTTGTTTGTACGGATCCCAAACTGGTGAGGAGTACTCGACGGTCGGACGCACAAGTGATGTGTACGTAAGGTTTTTAACAATTTTTCATGTTTCTACGTAAAATCCTAGTGTTTTATTTGCCTTTGAAGTTATATTATTAATATGGGGCCCCCAATCAAGATCATTGCTTATTGTAACTCCTAGATACTTGCTGTCTTTGACAGATTCAAGTACATGGTTATGTAATTTATATTGAAATAAATTAGTTTTCGACTTTTTAGATATATTTATGACATAGCATTTTTCAGGATTAAATTTCATTTGCCATTCAGATTCCCAATTTTCAAGGCTTGATAGATTTTTTTTGGAGTGCTTGAGACTCATTTATATTATTTGATGTTTCTTAAAGTAAACAGTCGTCAGCAAAAAGACGAACCTTACAGGAGACATGCTCAGGTAGGTCGTTTATGAATAACAAAAATAAAGTTGGGCCTAATACTGTGCCCTGAGGAACACCCGAGTCAACAGCTAATTTGGAAGATTGAACACCGTTAAGCAGGACTTGCTGTTGCCTGTTTGACAAAAAAAAATTGTTATCCAAAGTAAGTTATTTTCACGTATACCATAATAATTAAGCTTTGTTATTAACCTTTCATGGGGGACCATATCAAAAGCTTTAGAAAAATCTAAAAGTATTGCATCAACTTGATTACCTTCTGCCAAGTATTTGGCTACTAGTATGTCCCGGATGCTGATAACAAGTTGTGCTTCACAGGAACGTTTACTCCTAAAGCCATGTTGGCAATCATTTAAAATATTATTTAAATCTAAATGTTTTCTAATGTTACTTGTTAAGACGTGTTCTAAAACCTTACAACATATAGCCGTTAAAGAAACCGGTCTATAGTTAATTGCATTATGCTTATCTCCCTTTTTAAAAATTGGCACAACATTGGCCTGTTTCCACTCTTCTGGGATTTTTCCATCATTTATGGATTTTTGAAAAAAAGAATAAAAGGAAGGGGGGTATCTCTTCTGAGAGTTTATTAAGGAAAATAGCAGGGATATTATCAGGCCCACTAGCTTTATGGGGGTTTATATTTTAAGGAGTTTAATTATGCCATTGATATTAATGGTTATATCTGGCATGGTGGGGTAGGGACTTTTAGGTTTATGTGGCATTGAAGTTTTGTATTCTTTAGTAAATGCACTTTTAAATTGTTCATTAAAAATATTTGATTGTGTTTGTGGATCACTATAAAGTAATCCATCTTTACCTCTCAAAGGTGAGACTCCTGATGTTTCAGTCTTTTTCCCTTTTATTTATTGCCAAAATGATTTTGGTTTTTCCTCCAGTTGTGGAATCTCCGTGGAATGGTATATCCTAAATAAACTATTTTGAAAATAAATTCTACATCCAACAGATCGATATCGGTGTCAACATTCAATTTTAATACAAATTCTATCTTCAGATTCACGTATTATGTTTTATAAATGACGAAATCATCGAAATGTAATCTCCGTGGAATGTAATCTCCGTTCACGTTTTTTGTGAAGAGTGCTTTCTTTCACGTCCGCACTTCTATCGAGTATGGCATGCCAAATAAACATTTTAGATAATAATTACGGATGGCGAATATATAAATTACAGATCAATAACTTACATTGTAATTCAGACGACATAAGAAGACACCATGTGACAATTTTAATTAGTAAATTGTTTTAGTGTAACAGAGTTGCTTTTTTTCTTAGATCTACAAAAAAACACAAAAAATACGAACTGGATGTTTTTATGTCAATATTAATGCAAGTAAATAATTTTAACCCGTTTTCGATATTAAAGATCTGAAACTTTTATTATTAAATATAAATTTGATACAATTAAACAATTATGCAAGTAGTCATAAAAATTGCTCTGCCTAATGAGTTTAATAAATCATATTGCACAGGGAGAGAAGCTTTTAAATACTTTCTTTCATTAAAAATGAAATTACGACGTCGGCTGAGAGGGCATGGTATATATATTGTCCGTTACATTTATTAACAACACCTTGTACAAATATTCTTTTCGAAAATAAAAACAGTTAAATAGAACAAACAAAACTTTCCGTCACAATGATATATGAGGGTCTGAATTAGGGGGGGAAAGAGGGGTGGGTGGGTTTTACATTTCTGCATTCTGTAATTCTTTTGGTCATTTTTCTCTATTCAGTAAGAAATATCTTATTCTGTAAATGCTTGTGTTCAGACCGTGCATATGAAAATTTCCTGTTGTATCATGATTTTGACATGATAAGATCTTTTTGTCTGTATCAACGACATATAAATATTTGAATCTACATTTTAAATTGATACAAAAAATCAAAATTCTCTGATCTATAGATTTTCATAAATGGAGTCTAAAATATATCCATAATAAATGCACTGTATCAAACGCATATATGAGAACAATTACTTATAAACTGCTACGCGTCGCATACTATGTATGGAGACATGCATCATAAATCTAAGTTAAAAGACAAATTAAAAAAAAAAGGAGTTCTAAAAGCTTTCTTTGACAAATTTTATACTAACTTCATTTTAACAAGTTTAAATTACATTTTCTAAAATAGAGCTAAGAACTGTTTGTAATGTTGTAAATTTAATTCGTTTGAAATTTTTATTCAAATACGCTGTTGAAGATAGCTAAGCGCCAATAGAATACAACAATTTTGTATTTTATAAATTAGTGTCTTCGATAATGAAAAATTCGTCATCAAACAGTCTCATTATCATGTCGGTATTCGAAATGACTTGTTTCATTGTTATTACAAAAAAATAGGTCATAATAACATGACAGAGTTTTTTTTTTTTGCTTCAGAATGCTCTAGATAAATATACAAAAAGCAAAGTTTAGACAATGTACCATCATAAGCCTGGAAGTGGCTAGTCACATATAGTTAACGGCGTTTTTCTCACAATGATGTTCTACCTCCATAAGCCTGGAAATGTCGTGGCGGGTCACATATAATCAATCCTTCTGACTTCATAAATTTTGTTAGAGAGTCGGCTGAATTACATGTAAGACGTTATATGATGAAAATTAATTAATTTCCTTCCGTGAAAATGCATCGCATGTACAATAGAAATGAATCGCTCCTACAGTGAAAATGAAAGTCTAGTATCATTATTCGACAGTAAACATGAATCGCATAACGAATACAGCATAGTGGAATTTAATTCAATAACAAGCTGAATAACAAAACCTGTTTTAAGTTATACAACATTAATAACTATGTTAAAAGGTACATTTTTTCTGCAAATGAAACTTAACTGCTGCTTTTAAATCTCTTGCACGCTCTGTTCGTGAACTATTCTTAATATTTATCTATTTGTGTATCAATTTTACACCTAAATGGCTGTAGGCGCGATGAAAACCCGTCCGCATCTCATACCTATATCATGAATTTATAAAAACAGTACACATTATATCTTATTTCTTATTCTATTCAAAAATCATGAATTTGTCGTCTGTTTATTTAACATTCTACATTAGAAATTCCTAACGGATACAGTGAAAATGGTATTTCAGGATTCGCACATTATATACACTGGTTTTGTTTATTTTTATTGGACTTTCTTTTAATTCTTTTTCAACGAAAACGCATGCAACTTCTTATTTCTTGTTTAAAAATTCTTCTCTTGGTCATAAATCTGCATGAAATATTTGCCACTGTACGTTCAGAAAACAGCAATCAATCAATCATATCTCCTCTAAAATTGCAGTACTATAATAACTTTAGACATTATCAAATAATTGTTAAAAAATTCGTTTAATCCTTTGATCAGATATAAACACGTCTCGTCACTCTCCTATTATTTCAAATTTCCGATACAAGGAAAAAAAGTATTATTGAATATTAAAGGAAGTAACCCATCAAAGATACAAGGCTTGTGTTTCGTCTACAAATGAAAACATTCGAACACACCCACTCACCTGATTCGCTCGTCCTTACAAATATAAAAATTCAAAATATAAAAACAATTATATACAAAATAATGGATAAGGTCACCCCGGATGCCGCACAAATGCCAAGGCAACGAACGAGAAACCTGAAAGGACATACTTGGATTCCAAACCGATACCGCTAAATGCCCAGCTGTATTCCCGGTAGAGGAAAGCCGAAAATCCTACAATAAAGCATCTCGGAAAGAAACTACCCATCCATTAGGGGAACAACAGCTAAAACTCTCAGACATCAAATAGATTGGTCTGATAGTTTCCCACATGGAAACTACTAATGGATTCCATCTAACCACATGTATCAAACAAACCTGAAAATATCTGCAGAAAATTCCTCAACAAAAAAATATAATTCAAAACATAAAATATAAGATGTAAGGATAACAATATTTATCCATGAAACCAATTTAGCAAAACAATTTCAATGATGTTGAAGGATTCTCTCTGCAAACATTTTCACGTCCGCTCTCATCGGCATGCTCGACTCGTCGATCTGTGAAAGAAGAGTGTGCCATATTCCGATGTAAATAAACTACGATTCACACCTCCTGTTTACAGCTAGAGTTCCGTTTTACGATACACTTACGATGATACACAGTGCGTAACTTGCGATCAACTTAGTAGTCCTTTACGATGCCTTTGTGAAACACACGTAACGGGAACGTAGAACCACACGTAAACGGGTCGTAAAATGATACGGTGATCGTAAGTTAAGAAGGCTTTGTGAAACGGTGGCCTGGATTTCTCTCGTCCAGCGGCAAATCCCATAATAAGGGGACGTCCGTTTGCCAGCAAGACATACAAAAATACGCAACTTTGTGACTTTTTGAAATAGGGACGTTGAAACTGATGTAGGACGATTTTAAGGGTTCTTTAAAGTGTAGAGAACGTGACTCTCTCCCTATACAAGGCATCAGATGTAAAATCTCCAATCAAGAATTGCTCTTTTAGGGTTACGTTGGTGACTTATTGTAAAATAAAGCAAAAGCTTACCCTATCCGAAGTACCCTCTTTTTTGGTGGCAGTTTTAATTTCTGATTCTGAACAGAGCAGACAAAATTTTTTAGATCAACTTCTAATAGAGCTGCAACTTTAGTTTTAGCGAAATTACATAATTAATGTACTAATAATGACCAGTCAAGCTGTATAATTTGATTCATGTCATTAACGAACCGTTAGCTACAGGTCAATGATAAAGGTTGGTCTACGTACCGTATGGAGTTTATGTCTAATGACAACTCTCTCCTCAGCGTTATCAATGTAAAATATTCGTAGTGTATTAAATTTGTTTTTAGCTTAGTAATAATTGTTTACAGTAATGCCGATTAAGGTCAAGGTACAGCAAATGGACTATGTCACATATTTTGGTAAAATGTTGCATACAACTTTAGCTTGTTGAACTAGAACTGAAAATTTAAAAAAATAATTCTTTTTTAATTAGTGAATATGTGTAAACAAGTAGGCACATAAAATCGCCCAAAAACGTTCTTAGATTTGTCATCAAATCAAATCTCGAATTACAAATCCATATATTTTTCATTAAAATTGATATGTTGTTGATACATACATTTTCGTTTTGGTGATGTAAAATAATAATAGGGTCTTTGCATGTTTTCAAATCATGTGACTTTTGGGATTATCCTTATAAGGAGTTCTTTTGTACCATCATGTCATTGCTTCAAAACCAAAACATTTCAAAAGTAAAGAGTGTTTTGGCGAATACATGATCCGAGGTTGTTCAACGGGCGACCTACACTTGCGCGGATTTTAAAATGACACGCATTACATTTGCGCGGAAAAATGGTATTACGTTTGTGCGAATTTACCTGTAGTTTACCAGAGGTTTTTTTTACCTGTAATTCGGTTATTGTTTTGAACATAAATTGCCGATCATACCATATCTTGTTACTTCATACATATATAAGACAAGTCTTTATTTGTTTATATAAACATTAAAAAGCACTACATGTATGTAAAAAAAAAGTTTTGAATAAAATACAAATATCATGGAAAAGAACATTCAAAGTATATAGTCATGAATATAACGCAGTATACATGCGGATGATATCTATACGGGAATCTTCTATAGATCAGTCCTTGCCTGGTACTTGTATTCTAGCGATTTGAGATAGCATTGACGGGAAATTTCACCAGTTTGAAATTTCAGAAATTGTTGAACGGTAAACTGAATTTTCTCTTAGTCTGTGCGTTTTACAAGAGCTTGGTTATCGCTGACGCGAATTTTAATTAAGTAGTCGCCTAAACTTGTAGAAACATCTCAACGGAAAGTGTAGATGGCTGGATGAGTTGAATAAAACTGTTTATTGTAATGGCTATGAAAAGACTCTGGCCATTGTTGGTACGTTTTGTTTCTTCATTGGGCACAGCTATCCACATTGCTGGTGGACATTTTGACTCGCTGGTAACGTAATTTTCTTCTAAGTAGTCGGCAAATTTGTTGCAAATTTGTTGCAAATTTCATGCATAGTCCTGAGCATTTGACATTATATCGTCTGCAAAACTGTTCAGTTTAATATTTTAACAATATTAAGTTTTTTGTTATAAAAGTTATGGACTTATTTTTCATATGTTTTTGTATAAATCCGCGAAAATGTAGTAACCTTTCAACAGGTAAATTTCGCGCAAACGTAATGCGTTTTGTCGCGCAAACGTAACGATCCGTGTTCAACGACTAATTTCACAATTAATAATCCATGCTAATTTGTAAAGAACATATGAACACCGTTTATCGTACGATCACTGGTGAAATATCTACAATTAATTATCTTTTAGTGTATACATGTAGCTTACATTTTCAGTCACAAGCAATTTTATATGTTAGTTTTTTATAAGGAAACATTCGATTTTAGAATATTTAGCAAATATATGCAATATTCATATCAGATAAAAACATATATATGTGATTCCTGAAAGTTGTCGAGAATGAAACTGTTCCAATAATGGCATGCAATATAAAAATAAGATGATGTGGTATGATTGCAAATGAGACAATTATCCACCAAAGTTTAAATGAAGTGGATGTAAGCAATTATAGGTAACCGTACGGCCTTCAACAATGAGAAAAACCCATATCGTATAGTCTGCTATAAAAGGCCCCGACATGAAAAATATGAAACGATTCAATTGAGAAAACTAACAGCCTATTTAATAACAAAACAATTTACGAAAAACAAATATGACAGACGTCAACCAACGACAACCACTGAACTACAGGCTCCTGACTTGGGACATGCACATAAAGAATGTGGCGGGGTTAAATATGTTTGTGAGCGCTCAACCCTCCCCTAACCTAGGACAGTGATGTAACAGCACAACATAAGAACAAACCATAAAAATCAGTTGAAAAAGGCTTAACTCATCAGATCGGTACAAAGCAGAAAATTATCAAACATAAACACAAACTGGACGTGGCAGGGTATTTATCCATCCGTCATCCCTAACAACAAAAAGGACACTAAGTACAGATCTGAGAGTACTCGCAGTTACTGACAGCTAGTTCAAAGCCCATAACAACTAATAAAAAAATTCATGTATCTAAGACAAAAATATCAATCAGTACACATCCAACATCCAATGGATGTAAAGACGTCATCAACAGTCAAAGAAAAACATGACCTTGTGCAATGCCAAATTATAGGTATAGTCATTACTATGGGCGATTTAAAGTAATAAAATATATTTAACTTTTGCCATTTTATTATACAAATTCCCATTTCAATGTACCAGTTTGTACAGCGCAGGGAAATGTAAATATGTCATTATTTAGGACAAATATTAAAAGTGAGTTCAAAATGTACGGAAGTAATCTTACCTGTTTAAAAGTTAAAATAAGATGTTTAAATCTTCTGTGTATATATAGATGTTCATTAGATACGTATTAGATACAATACAAAGGTAACAAAGAAACAGGCCGGTAACAAGCGTTGCCGGATAGTTTTTCTGCACGAGTAGTCAGGTCAAGGACCGAGGAGATAGCCGAGGCCCTTGACCTGACTACAAGTGCAGAAAAACTATACGGCAGTTTGTTTACGGCCTGTTTTTTGTTACCTTTGTTTTGTATCTGACTTGTACGACGTTTCAAGAAAGAAGTAGTACATTTTGCATTTAGAAGAGGTAGCAAAATTAAACAGATTAGAGACTTAAATGACCATATACAAGTTAATGTAAGTTACAGTTTAAACAAACTTTTTTTTTCACTTTCCTTCCGCCGAGAGTTTTTTTTTCTCAAGAAATTCAAAAATCTAATAATTTTATAAAAAAGAACCATATCAAGTAAAAGATGAATGTCGTACACATTTGAGACTTTTTTAAATGCAACTTCGCAAGTAAGTAATGTAGGAAAAAGATTTAAGAGGTAAGCAAGCTAACATTTGATTTTTATTTGGGGAAAAACGGAAAGGGGGGGGGGGGGGGGGGGTTAAACATTTAAAATAACAGACTTGATCCTTTTTTGTTGAAAAAATGCAAGATGTGCCATTCCATTCCCCATTCCCCCTTAAAAAAATAATAATAATCGTCCGTTTGCTCCCAAATATATGAATTCAATATATATGATTTCAATAACAGTATAAATGTATAAAAAGAACGAAGTTCTTATTTCATTAGTGAATGAAATGTTATGAAAAAATAGATTTTGGCTTGTTAATAGATATATATAGGCATATATTTTGGTTTTTTTTTTTTTAATTTTCATGCTTGTAGGTCTCTAATAGTATTGATCAGGATTAAACACGTGTCACAATTATGATCCAATCGCAGCTTACCGTCCAAAATTGGTGACATAAGTTGAAAGATTTTCTTCAAGATTTGCTGCCTATTTGCACGTGTATTACACGGACACTTATTATTTATAGGATCAATCGTGCATTGGTGAGTTGATAGGGATTTTATCTTTTGATTAGATTTGATTTTTTTATGTATATATATTTACTGTCTTTTATATTGAAATATAAACGTCGGTACCAGCATTTCTTTACTTTCAGCATTGTCCAGAATACTATTCATGCCCATATATTGAAAAAATACATTTACGGTCCGACCATTCAGCTTCAAAAGGGGTATGTTTTTTTTTCTGAGTAAGAAAATTAATTACCTTTTCAACGCTATCACCAAATATTTTTTTCGAAATTAGCATTTTAATATACTGTACTCGGAAAATCAGGAATCAGAACATTATTTTGTCATCTGCTTGACCACACTATATTTTTTCTCATAAAATTGGGGATCAGAATATTTTTTTTGTGGAAAAAACCATAACCCCCCTTTTGAAGTTAAATGGTCAATTCCGTAGTGTACTGATATGAATAGTAATATACTGGAATTGTTTGAAAAAAATACAGTTATTTGATGCCAACGTAAATATTTTAAACAGACAGGAAATATGTCGGTGAAACAAAAAGTTCAAATCTAATAGAAATTTAAAGTGCCCATGAACTCACTGATCATGCACGAGTGATTCTATTCATAAAAAGTGTCCGTGTAACAACTAAAAAGTGTCCGTGTATCATCTATAAAGTGTCCGTGTAACACCCGTTAATGTACTGTTTTTCTATAGCTCTGCTGGGGCAAAGTCGTACAACACATGATACCTGTGACAAATCTGCGTATGAGATAGATAGAATTTCGAAATGAACGAATCTATTTATTGGGAGTGCAACCAAAACAAGGATTGTTTACCCCTCCCCCCAGCGTGTCATCGTTGAACTTTAAGTGTATAATCAAATACAATTATATTAGAAATACATGGTATAGTTGCATGTATCCAAATATTAGTCCAGCTGATTCGTGCATATTTTAGAAGAAATGTGGGTTTGATGATAAAGCATGAAAATTTGCACAATTGTAGATCTATATATGGTAGTCAATTTAACATGTTTAAGCTATGGAACCACTCTGAAACATCCAATATGGCGGTCATTTCAAGATGGCTTTCAATCAGTCAACATTTCACCACGATGTATAAATTAGAGCAAATAATATTCAAATCAATTCTTTTAAAAGCATATAAAATGTAATCCAACGTTTCTAGTAAGTCATGGCGGTATATTAGACTTTTAAACTTTTTTTTAAACTGCGGAAAATTTCAAAATGGCCGCCAAAAAGTTAAAATGAACCAAACTAAGACAAGGCTCTGCTGATATTCATTTCTTTCATCGAATTGCACTTTGAAGTTCATTCGATGTTCTGGGGATTATGTTTCCACGATACATCGATGCTGCTTGCAAGACAATGTAATCAAAGATCCCATAAATGGAAACATTCGAACGTTTTTAGGACGCCTTTAGGATTTGTTTGACTGTGTACCATCTGAGGCACAAATGATAATTTATATGTTCCACTTCTCCTTGTATATCTAAATAACTAAACAATAATGATCATAATACATATACTTTTTAGGGGTATTTGAAGTTATCTTGAAATTATTGAAGTTGAACCCCAACGGAAGAAATACATGTGTGATGATTTTCTATCTAAGGTTAGATTGTTTACATTAGTTACAGTTCGGCAGAAGCCTTATTTTATACATTTTTATAATACTTTATTAAACATAGAAAAGAATCATATGTTTTGCGGGTAAACCTTGGGTCAGGTCAAATGTGAAGGGGTGTTCCAAAGGAAACTGTAATACGAGTAAGGAGGCACTTTGGTAGAACACCCCTCCTTCAAGAATGGTACAGTTACCATTGGGGTATATAAGCAGGAGAGATTCCTTGCTCAGGGTGTAGTGTCATAAGTCTACGGAGACATAAGACCAAGGTACGGTACGTTGATATTCGAGATCGCTGTCTCGTATATATTAGATATAATAGATACTATTGCTAAGTGTAATAAAGAACAGGTTGGTGCCTGTTAAAAATACGGACTTGTACGTTTACAAACTGAACCGTATTGTTGTATCGTATAGGAAAAGTGTGAGTCTGTTAGACCAACTTGTAAGGTACATAATAGTACCAAGAGGACAAGGACAAGTGTGTAAACTTGTAGGGTACATAATTGTACCAGAAGGACAAGTTTGTTCCTGACCCAGGACAAATTTGTAAGAGTACAAATTGGTACCAGTTGTATATATTTAAAGTAGAATAGTTATATGTAGTTTATTAGAGAACGCAAAGAGCAGTTGTACATATTTTGGTTCATTGACGTTAATATATGAATAAAGATTATTTGTTATTTGTTTTGTAAATAGAACATTTTGGATCCAGTATCAAACTGGTAACGAACTCATTCTTAAATAGAAATAGACACGCTTACCCTGTGTACACGTACACAATTCGGTGGCAGCGGTGGGATCCAAATTGTTCCTTTTTAAATCCATTGTGAAAGTTAATATCCAAATTGATCATCTCATAAACTTATATCCAAACTGTCTTGTGAGAATTTATATGTTCAAACTGTTCACTTTTGCACAGATCGTAATTGTAAATTGTATATCAAAAATGTCCTGTTCACGTTTCAAATTTCCCACAGTTTAGTTGCGTATATTATTTACATTAGGGATTAACGATCGATAGTGGTACAGGCAATACATTGATTGACATTTATTACATTGTACATTTATGACATAGTGTTGAAATTAAAAGTATATGGTGTATGCATGGTTAAATCGCAAATTAAAGTACAAACATGTATTTTGATGATACAAATTGGCAATCGACGAGTACACAAAACAAATCGTGACAAGATATGGAAGAAGGAACAATGTATAGAAATAGTTTTGTTTCGTAAACACCAAAAGATCAAGGTGTTCGTCCAATAGATGTTTTTGTAACAAGAAATGGTTCGGGTAAGGGATCAAGAGGGTCCTCATTGTCAAGAAAAGGAGATAATAAAAAAAGGTGATTTACCAACATTCACCAACCCGAATACGCACAAAACTGTTAAATTTTTCCACATTGATTTAGAGGAAGGGGATACTTTGCCTTTACCTATAGATAATAGTTATGTTAGGGAAAAAGACAAAATCGACAAATCAATGTACCGACATACTGATAACACAGATAATTCTGGTGTAAAAATAAAACCGTGTAAAATATATGACGGTAGCACACCATGGATAGACTATTTGTCCCATTTTGAAATGTGTGCACTTGTAAATAATTGGTCTGAAAATCGAAAAGGGTGATACTTGGCGGTATCGTTAATGGGACAAGCACAGGCTGTACTTGGAGATTTACCAAATGAGAAAAGACAAAACGGTTTTCTGATTTAGTCAGTGCACTTGAAGAGCGATTCGCGCCTTCTAGTCAAACTGAGTTATACAGAGTTCAATTTAAAGAAAGACTTCAAAAAGCTAGCGAATCACTTCCCGAATTAGGCCAGTCAATTCGGAGATTGTCCAACTTGGCATATCCTACTGCCCCGTTGGACGTACGAAAAACTCTCGGGAAAGAGCAGTTTATTGACGCGCTCGTTGATTCGAAAATGCGGCTTAGAATAAAACAATCGCGACCGAAAGGTTTAAACGATGCAGTTAGACTTGCCGTTGAATTAGGGGCGTACAATAAAGCCGAAAATAAAGTAATAGAGGGACGAGGTTATTTACGGCAAACTATGAACTATGACGAGTCAGATAAGGAAGAAAAGATTTCAAATAGTGACTCGCCAAACAAAGACATTGCATCATGGATGCAAACAATGGAGAAAAGTCTTAGTACTCTTACGACTGAAAGGCAAAATTAAAAACTATTGGTACAAACGAGGGGTCTTCTTATAATAAGACAAGATATACTCAAAGTAAGAGGACAAATAAGAATTGTTACAATTGCGGCAAATTTGGTCATTTAGCAAGGGACTGTCGCCTACCCCGAAGAAATCAGAACAATTATAATGGAAATAAGGGGGATGGGGCTGTTAAAACATTAATGAAAACTGGGAAACAAGATAACCGTAAGACAAATGAAGGTGCGGTTACAACAGCATCGGAAGATGCTGGTATGTATGTT